CCAAGCACCCGCCGACCTGGCACCCGCCGACCTAGCACCCGCCGACCTAGCACCCGCCGACCTAGCACCCGCCGACCTAGCACCCGCCGACCTAGCACCCGCCGACCTAGCACCCGCCGACCTGGCAACCACCGACCTAGCACCCGCCGACCTAGCACCCGCCGACCTAGCACCCGCCGTCCTGGCACCCGCCGACCTGGCACCCGCCGACCTGGCACACGCCGACCTAGCACCCGCCGACCTAGCACCCCGCCGACCTAGCACCCCGCCGACCTAGCACCCGCCGACCTAGCACCCGCCGACCTAGCACCCGCCGACCTAGCACCCGCCGTCCTGGCACCCGCCGACCTGGCACCCACCGACCTAGCACCCGCCGACCTAGCACCCGCCGACCTGGCACCCACCGACCTAGCACCCGCCGACCAAGCACCCGCCGACCTGGCCCCCGCCGACCTAGCACCCGCCGACCTAGCACCCGCCGACCTAGCCCCCGCCGACCTAGCACCCGCCGACCTAGCACCCGCCGACCTGGCACCCGCCGACCTAGCACCCGCCGACCTAGCACCCGCCGACCTGGCCCCCACCGACCTAGCACCCGCCGACCTAGCCCCCGCCGACCTAGCACCCGCCGACCTAGCCCCCGCCGACCTAGCACCCGCCGACCTAGCCCCCGCCGACCTAGCACCCGCCGACCTGGCCCCCGCCGACCTAGCCCCCGCCGACCTAGCACCCGCCGACCTAGCAACCGCCGACCTAGCACCCGCCGACCTAGCAACCGCCGACCTAGCACCCGCTGACCTAGCACCCGCCGTCCTGGCACACGCCGACCTAGCACCGGCCGACCTAGCACCCGCCGACCTAGCACCCCGCCGACCTAGCACCCGCCGACCTAGCACCCGCCGACCTAGCACCCGCCGACCTAGCACCCACCGACCTAGCACCCGCCGACCTAGCACCCGCCGACCTGGCACCCGCCGACCTAGCACCCGCCGACCTAGCACCCGCCGACCTGGCACCCACCGACCTAGCACCCGCCGACCAAGCACCCGCCGACCTAGCACCCCGCCGACCTAGCACCCGCCGACCTAGCACCCGCCGACCTAGCACCCGCCGACCTAGCACCCACCGACCTAGCACCCGCCGACCTAGCACCCGCCGACCTAGCACCCCGCCGACCTGGCACCCGCCGACCTGGCCCCCGCCGACCTAGCCCCCGCCGACCTAGCACCCGCCGACCTAGCAACCGCCGACCTAGCACCCGCCGACCTAGCAACCGCCGACCTAGCACCCGCTGACCTAGCACCCGCTGACCTAGCACCCGCCGTCCTGGCACACGCCGACCTAGCACCGGCCGACCTAGCACCCGCCGACCTAGCACCCCGCCGACCTAGCACCCGCCGACCTAGCACCCGCCGACCTAGCACCCGCCGACCTAGCACCCACCGACCTAGCACCCGCCGACCTAGCACCCGCCGACCTAGCACCCACCGACCTAGCACCCGCCGACCTAGCACCCGCCGACCTGGCACCCACCGACCTAGCACCCGCCGACCAAGCACCCGCCGACCTAGCCCCCGCCGACCTAGCCCCCGCCGACCTAGCACCCGCCGACCTAGCCCCCGCCGACCTAGCACCCGCCGACCTAGCACCCGCCGACCTAGCACCCGACGACCTAGCACCCGACGACCTAGCACCCGCCGACCTGGCCCCCCCCGACCTAGCACCCGCCGACCTAGCCCCCGCCGACCTAGCACCCGCCGACCTAGCCCCCGCCGACCTAGCCCCCGCCGACCTAGCCCCCGCCGACCTAGCCCCCGCCGACCTAGCCCCCGCCGACCTAGCCCCCGCCGACCTAGCAACCGCCGACCTAGCAACCGCCGACCTAGCACCCGCCGACCTAGCAACCGCCGACCTAGCACCCGCTGACCTAGCAGGTAATAGGTCCGCGGGTGCTAGCCTACCGAGCCCCCGCCCGCCCGCCCATTCAATATCCTCCCCCCTGCCACCTCAATATCCTTCCTCTTGCCACTTTACTACCCTCGCCCCTGCCACCTCAATTCCCTCCCCCCCTGCCACCTCAATACACTCACCGCTGCCACCTACAATACCCTCACCGCTGCCACCTTAATACCCTCCCCCCTGCCACCTACAATATCCTCCCCCCGCCACCTACAATACCCTCTCCCCTGCCACCTCAATACCCTCCCCCCTGCCACCTCAATTCCCTTCCCCCTGCCACCTCAATACCCTCGCCTCTGCCACCTCAATACCCTCGCCTCTGCCACCTCAATACCCTCGCCCCTGCCACCTCAATACACTCCCCGCTGCCACCTACAATACCCTCCCCGCTGCCACCTCAATACCCTCCCCCCTGCCACCTCAATACCCTCCCCCCTGCCACCTCAATACCCTCCCCTCTGCCACCTCAATACCCTCCCCCCTGCCACCTCAATACCCTCCCCCCTGCCACCTAAATACCCTCCCCCCTGCCACCTCAATTCCCTTCCCCCTGCCACCTCAATACCCTCGCCCCTGCCACCTCAATACCCTCGCCCCTGCCACCTCAATACACTCACCGCTGCCACCTACAATACCCTCCCCCCTGCCACCTCAATACCCTCCCCCCTGCCACCTAAATACCCTCCCCCCTGCCACCTCAATATCCTCCCCTCTGCCACTTTAATATCCTCCCCCCTGCCACCTCAATACCCTCCCCTCTGCCACTTTAATATCCTCCCCCCTGCCACCTCAATACCCTCCCCCCTGCCACCTCAATACCCTCACCTTTCATGTAAACGCACTACCGGTTTGTCCTTCTCTCTTTCCCCAAATTACCGTGGGCCTTGCTTCCAGCTAGCGTCCTCCCATTGGGACCCTATCGTGATTGTCAGCAAGTATGCAACCTCCAGGGCCGGTGAAAGAGAAACTGTTACAAACCATGCCTCGTTAAAATGGCCATTCGGGTCAACGTCCCCGACGTATGTGCCTCGATAGCGAGGAGGGCATCAAAAACACACAATCCCCGTGTACTTCCGGTCTCGCCCAGGTCGCCGGGCCTCTTCGAATAAGTCATGATACAAATACACGAGCTGAAAGACGCCCATGTGCTCTCGCAGCAAACGCAAAAGATCCTGCCGCGGGTTGGGACACCCGTACGGAAGCATTCAAGAGGCTGCCGTGTACTGGGTCTCCACCCTTCGTCCTAATCCGCATGTTCCCATGCTGCGTCACCAGGAGGCCCTGCCTGCCTGCACACACTTCCACAACACAGCATCCGCCTCACATCGCAATGGAAGCCTCAAGCTTCCCCTCTTCCCCTCATTCCGTCAGTTGCCTGGCGGAACAGCGGCTCGCCCAGCACACATCTATCACCCTTGCGATCACTGGTAAAAAGCTTATCCAAGAACTCCACCCCAACCGCGCAAACAGGTACAAAGTTGGCTAAGGCGTAAAAGCCATTTATACCAGACCCTTCTATATACTGGTAGCGCGTGGGCCCGTACCATAGAAAACCACACTCCAGGGGTTCACCACATTCCAGGGGGTTCAATTACGGACAGTAATCGAAGTCATGCATGCGGCAGGGAATTGCGGTGCAGCCCACAAACTCCCTCACCACAGCGAAACACCTTCACCATGCGGCCTAGAGGAAAATGGGGTTTTCAGTTAGGAAACCAAAACACCACACATCCAAACAGCGCACGCACCTTCCTTCCATTTCGCCGCAAACCGCAAGGCGTCGAAAACTCGATATACATTTCGTGTTCACATTTCGAAGGATAGTACGCAGGGTACTCCTTCTCGGCCCGCCTGCCGTCGCCACAAACCAGCACCAATCCTCGTACGCACAGCTAAACAGGGTCCACAACATACGGCCAGCTTACTCGCCCTCATCGGACCCAGAGATGCCCAAGTGAGGATCATAACGACACCCAGTCCATCCATAGCCATCGCTGAAGCTATCCAAAAATTTCTATGTATGCGGTCCTATGAACGGTATCACTCTACAGGGAGGCAGGGCAGTCCTTGCATCTTGGAACGCCCTCTTGGAGCACCCAGCAAGCCGCAAGACAAGCAGGAGCACGCACCAACCGACGCGCGAGTGCAACCCGGGGCCCCCGTAACCGGGCTGGTCCCGGTACGCAACTTCAGCCTGCACCTTGCTAAGCAGGGTCAGGTGCTCAGGTCAGGGATCCTAAGACTAATGATACTAGTTGGCAAACACCAAGGCAGCCAAACGCCAGGAGGGTGGGTTCCCCACCACACAAAGGATTGCCTTGACGCAATGCGACGCAAGGCTGACATGGACGTCAATCAAGGGAAGAACTAAAGAGATGTGACGCGCTAGGAAGGGCACGGGCAAAACGCCCAGGTAGCGCAGACAGCAGAAACATTAGAGGACTTCAAAACGCATACACGCCAAGCCTGGCCACATACCGGTAGCCCTAACCAGGGTGTACGGGTACACTATGTCACGGTCCTAACGGAAGGAACGCTAACGGAACTAACGGATACGAAGTGCGCACACAGCCGCCAAACCGCGCGGGAGAGTGGCAATAGTTCATCTGCGGGATGCGCGGAAATGGAACGCGTTTCCATTAATCGCCGTCGCCTCCGCAACTGCGTCTTGCACCAGTCGTGCGCCAAGCCCAGTCCCATGCAGTTGTAAGTCAGCGAGCTCCCCACATTTTACTACTGCTCCTAGACCTCAACACAGCTTTCACCCTCTCTCATAGCGAGCTCCATCCACCCCCTTATGTATACAAGCAGCATGTCAAGACGTCAGACAACCTCCCCGGAGTGCACCGCCGCCGCCGCCACTACCACCACGGCCGGAGAGCCCTCGCCAGACGCGCACTCCGCCGGCGCCTCTGCGTTCCCCACTCCAGGGGCGCCGGCCTCATCCTTACCCACCGCTGGCTCTCCAGTCCACGCCTCTCCGCTGCTAACCTGTCCCTCCCCACCCAAGGACCCCTCCTCCTCCGCCTCCTCCTCTTCCACCTCCTCCTCCGTGTCCTGCTCCTCGCTGCCGCTACCCCGGCTGGTGAGCACTATCTCCGCTGATGACACGCCGCCCTCACCGCCACTCACAACGGTGGACGCATCGCCCGAGGACTGCTGCTCCCCGGAAGCAACCCCGCAAACACCAACACCACCATCACCATCACCAGCGGCTGCCGCAGCTGCCAGTTTGCCCTCCTTGGCTGCCTGCTTATCCTTGTCCTTGTCTTTGGAGGCCTTGCGACGGCTCTGCATGGCTGCAGCGGCCAGCGCCTCCTCCTCGGGGCTCAGCGGCGCAAGCAGCTCCCGCAGCGGGTCAGAGCTGCTGGCGAAGATGCGAGCAGCGCGCTCGAACTCGCGACGGAGGATCTGGCGGGAAGTGGTGAAGCGATGGTGGTGATGGGGTACGGAAGTTAGAGTACGACACATGATGCGGTGTGGTGTTGCACGACGGCCATGGAGCTAATACCGTACAGCTCATAGTACGATGCCTTTCGCAGCCTAACCTCAAGCCCCATTTGACAAGAAGGGAACGATTTGGGTCGGCTGTGCTGGCTGCAGCTGCAGCCACCCCCAGGTGTAGCATCCCTCACCCACCTGCACCGCGGCCTTGTCGATGGTCCGACCCAGGTCGTGGCTTAGCTCGAAGGGGTCCTCGATGCACATCAGGTGCCGCTCGTTGCCCTGCAGACACGGCCCCAGCAAGTTCAGGTTGTGGTTGTGGTTCAGGAGGGCTTGAGCAGTCGCCAGCAGTGTAGCATGCTCTACCGGCGTGCAAATGCTTGTACCGCCGCTGCTGCAAAGCAGGCACTGCGCCCAAAACTGTAAACGCTTCAAAGAGTACGAAAGGTGATGCTGCTGCAGGGGAGCCGCTTGGAACGATGCTCAGTCAGGTGCTCTCGAGGACATCCCCACCCGCCTGGCGCTCCAACCCCCCACCTGTCGCTTGGTCCATTCCTTGGCCGACTTGGCCAGGGTGCCGCCCGTGCGCACGCACACCACGGATCCGTTGTAGTCGTGGCGCCAGGCCCAGTGGTCGAAGAACGCCACCAGCTGCAGGGCGCAGGGTGCAGGGCAGGGACAGAGGCGTCGGGACAGGGTAATTGAAAATGTTTAAAGCATTTTCTTAGCAATGACGAGGGCGCAGGGCATCGCAGTGATTGGCTCCGAGCTGCCCGGCTGCATGGTAGAGAGCCAGGGCACACGCAAATCAAACACACCCCAGAACCCACTTTACCAGCTCCCTAGCCAACCCTCTTAATCACTCCTTTTCCTCCCAGCTCCCCTCTAGAAAGCCTACCAGCTCCGCTAGCGACTCCTTGTTGCTCGTCCCAAAGTCCCGCAGATCTTGTACGGCATCGTGGTACGAGCAGCGCCAGGGGCCAACGGTGGTGTCGTACGACAGCGGATCGCGCTGCTGCAGCACCGGCAGGATGGGGGGCTGCCGCTGCTGCAGCAGCCAGATGCAGAGCAGCACGTAGGCGTAGGAGGAGAGGGAGCCCCTGCAAAGAAAGACAGTGAGACGAAGCGAGGCAAAAGGTAGCTCTTCAGTAACTGACCCAGTACGCAACGTGGCACGGTGAAGGCGTGATCAAGGGCAAAAGGACCCTTTTCGTCTTCCGTCGTTACCAACACTGACATCCCGAAAGGGCATCGCACACGCTTTGATGTGGCCCATGTTCACGCTCCTTCCCTGAGTGCGACCCACATCGCCGCTGTCACCTGTCATGACGCAATCACATCGTGCTACCTTACCCACCGATAGGCGTCGTTGACGCTGCGCGTCTTGGCCCAGTGCTTCACCACCAGCACCAGCTGCTTGAGCCGCGGGTCCAGCTGGCAGTAGTGGCCCAGCATGCGGGTGTTGGAGAGCGCCAGCAGGTTGTTGACGGTGATGTCCACGCGGGTCTGCAGGTGCAGGGCATGCAGGGGACATGAACGGGGCGTGAAGAAGGGGGCATGAATATGGTAAGGAGTAAGCCAGCAAAGTAAGCAGAGTGAACGGGGATGACTGAGGAGTTAGGTTGGGAAGCAGACATCGTCAGCAGCGTCAGCACCCTTGCCATGCAAAGCAAGCAAAATGCGGACCAGTAAGTAGCAACAGAGTTGTCAATACGCAATCAGTTGACCCATGGGTCGCACCTTTGTTTCGGCCACTGTCAGCTTTACCACGGGCGTCCGCGCCTTGGGCAGAGCGGTGACTGCCGTCATGCCGGTTGCACGCGCAGCGCCCTCCCTGCTGCTGTCACTGTCGCTGCTGGTCACATCCTTTTTATTTGCTTCCTCGGACGCTGCGGAGTCAGCCGTTGCAGTCGCTGCGGCATCCACTTCGATTGCCCCGTCGCCCGCTGCCTCCAAAACCGCGCCAGCTTCGGTTGCCTCAGCCGAAACCGCCTCAGGAGCGCTGCCGGCGGTAATGACCTCGGCATCAGCAGCCGCCGGCGTGGCGTCTGCCTCTGGCGACGCCGCCGGGGTCGGCGCTGCTGCCGCCGCCGCCGTGCTGCGGCCGCCCGTGGCGAGCTCTCCAAGCTCCGAAACCATCGCGGCCTTTGCCGCATGGTCATCCCAAACCATGTCAGGCACCTCCAGCGTGATGTCAATCTCGTTGGCCCCGGCAATGCAGAGACCGTTTGCAGCGGAGCCTGTGGCAATTGTATGCAAGCAGCCCGCAGTTCGGTGGAGTTGGGTAAGCGATGCCTTGCGCACTGCATAAGAACCTCAACCCACATTGCACTCCGCATGCAAGACGCGTACAAGGCAACTGTACACGTACCAACCCACTTACCAAACAGGTGAACCTTGACGTCAGGCCACCGGGCCTCCACCAGCTGCCGTACCGCATGCAGCGCAGTTTGGTGCGCCTCGAGCTCCTCAGCGCCCGGCGTCAGCTGCTGCACCAGGTTTCGGAGCTGCTCGTCCAATGCGGCCACCTCTGCAGCGCACTGCGCTACAGCAGCTGGGGCTCGCGAGTTGCCCGACCTGCGCGGAAGCAGCAGGGGCAACGGCAACAGGGCCATGCGGCGTTACGGACGGGTTAGGAGTGGGTTGGATGCCAAGCAGACCCTTGATGGCAGGGTATGCTAGAGGGTTTTAGCGGACAGGCGCGCGCCATGAGGTAGCAACACCTACAACTGTCAAGCTGGTCTTAGAAGCGGGCAATCAATTGGCAATCAAGAACATGGCGTCCAACCCAGCTTCTCTAACCCATATGCTGCGGACAGAGCGTTGACCCAAAACGGCACTCACTTGCGTTCCCGCTGCTCAGACGCCCGGCTCTTCTCTAGCTTGTCCCGACCGCTGCCTCGGCCTCTAGCAGCAGCAGGACTATCCCTGCCTGAGCCGTTGGCCCCGGCGGCGCCTCCGCTGGCGGCCCCAGACTCGGCAGCAGCGCCTCGATGCGGCAATGAATTCTTCACGCTCGCCGCCCCGGGCGCCTGCAGCTGCTGACCAACGCCACCCGCACCAGCAGTTGCCTTCCCGGCGCCACTTCGCCCGTACGACACCCCAGCATGCATGTGTCCGTACGGGTGCTGGCCGTACACACCGGCGCCGTAATGGCCGCCCTGGAAGCCCCCCCCAGGCATGCTGTGGGCTGAGGAGTGCGGGTAGCTGCTGATGCCGTGAGGAGCGCCCATGTGGGCGGGGTGGTGGTGTGTCATGGGGTGCAGCCCTATGTGCGGTGCGGCCATGTGGCCGTGCGACGGGTAGCCGTGCATGGGGGCCATGCCCATGCCCATCCCCATGGCCATGGAGGGGCTGTGCGACATCATCATAGGGCCCATGTGGGAGTGCTGGTGTGCCATGTTGCTGTGGGCGTCCATGCCACGGGGGGAACCGACGACGGGGGACATAACCTGCGTCCGTATTGGGGAATGAGACAGGTTTCAGACAGCGTAATGTATCGGTGGTGGCATGTGTTTATATGACCCCGTCGAATGCAGCCCAAATGAGTACTTCAAGGCCAGCTCTAGCTGCGATCCACTGAACCCAAGGAGCAGGTGTTGATGCCCCTCCCAATAGGAGCCAACAAGGACAGCGGCGGCATTCCCAAGGAACCCATCTCACCTGTGGCATAACAAGTCTTCCAGGGGCCATCATGCCGTACAAGGCATACGGTCCAGCGTGCATGTGCGCCATGCCGTACGCCCCTGAGCCGTCTGAAGCCATGGACCCCTGCATCATCTGCTGCTGCTGATGGACGTATTGGTGACTGTGCTTGGCGGTACAGTGGCCGTTGGCCGCCGCACCGTTCATCGCAGCACCTCCCGCGCTACGGCTGCCGCGCCAACCGCTGCCTGCGCTGCTATCTCTGGGTGCAGTGATGGTGCCACCACCCGCGCTAGCGCGGCCGTTGCCGGCGTTGCCACCGCCACCGGACTGGTGCATGGGCATCACCATAGCCCCCGGCGGCAATGGGGCCATGTAGTAGGCATTTCCTGGATAGCCTGCGGACGGAGACCCAGGTGTCATGCTGGCTCCGGATGTGGGCGCGGATTGGTGGTGCTTGACGGCGTGGTGGTGGTAGTGGTGATGTTGAGCCATCGGGTAGGAGCCAACAGGGTGCATGCCACGCCCTTGTTGCTGCACGCCACCTCCAGTGTAGCCGCCGCTAAGCGAGGCCTGCTGCGAGCCCGAAGAGTGGCTGCTGCCACCTCCCAGACCAGCATCACGCGATGGAGCGGCGCCTTCTGCGTTGCGCCCGTGGTTGGCGGCCCCGCCACTGCTGCTGCCGCGGGGAGCTTGTGGAGCGTGAACATCGAGGCGCTTGCCGGAAGCATGGTGTACGACAGACGGGCCCTTGGAACCATTTGCAGGATCGCCCTTGGGGGTTACTGGTATATCCTTGTTTGGTCCTGTCCCGACAGGAGATATGGATCCATAGCCATAACCGTCCTGTGGCCTATGTAGCTGAGACGAGGAAGTGGGCGTTGGCAGGCTGTGTACACCGCCAGGCAGCAGAGATGGCGATGGCAAAATAAGGGTGTCTAGCGGAGGTGCACCGGGGGCTGCTGGAGACTCTCCGTTTGCGTTGGGGCCATAGGCAGCGTCAGGATTAACGATGGACAGGCTGCGGTTGGCCACCAGCTTTAACAGAGTTGTTGCCGGTGTCGACGGCTGCGGTGATGCGAGCAGACCGTGTGGCAGCAAGTCACTTGGAGCGTAAACAATGCTTGGAGGATGCATGCTGTTGTTGTTCGGGCGAGCGAGGTTGGCATACTCAACCGGCGACGTTCCAATAGCCCAGGCCGTGGGAAACGCCGAAAATGGTGTCGGATTTGACGCAGGATGTTGTGACACATTTTGGTTAGCGGGCTGGGCCAGCATTTCGGAATTGCCCTTGCCATGTGGACCAGTTGATTTCGGACCAGGAGTGCTGGTATTAGAAGCTCCAGCGTCCTGACCTGTACGCCACATCCTGAAATAGCTGTTGCTTAGAACCAGTAAAGAATAGCAAAATATTCTGAGACCCGATAATCCTCAATCAGAGACTCTCAAACTCCCCTGTGCCAGTTGTTCGACACGCTATAAAGGAGTCACAGATGGACGATAGTATACTCATGTTTAGCAAGGAGGCCATGTAGCGGAAGTCAAGCTTGGCTCACAATCTTCCCTAATTGCAACATAAATATGATAACGCTAGTAACCATGCAGCAGCGTTCAACACGTTAAACGTATATTGTATTAGGCATCTCGTAGGTTGGTCTCATAGGGTAGACTGATAGACTTTGCAGGTAGACGATGATCCGAAACCAACTTGGAATTGAAGCTACCTAAAAAACTGTGCGAAAGGGAGTCTGCTTGAGATGGACGTTTTGCTTGAAGGGACGTATTAGGGTCGCATGGAACAACTACGGATACTGGACTCTCTCGCAGTTGGAAGTTGGAGAGGCAGATGGCCCGTTATTCGCTTGTTGGGTAGAGTGCCAACTGGAGGTAAGTCAATGCCATCTCAGGCTATCCTGTAAAGCAGCAACTTTAACTACGTGCTATTGAGCTATACAATACGCTCCCACGAGCAGCATTATGGCATACGGTAAGCTGCATGAGCGGTAATGCGCTACCATTCAGTGTTGCTGCCTTGCTGAATGTGCAGTCAAACTCGATCTTTGAACGGGGTCCATCGCTGATGTACAACCGTTCCAGGGGTACGCGGCTGTACAGTATGCGTATGCTCGACCAGGTTTCCATCGTGTCAACCCTGGTAGTCGAAACAATGAGGCGTGTGGCTTAGGTTTGACCTTGACAAAACGCAATGTTATGATCAGTGTTGCGTAAGGCTTTTGGGCTGCTTGCCGAAGGACAGCTCTCTCGGGGGACGCAGCAGTCAGCAAGGGGCAAAACATTCAGCACCCTATGAACTGCAGTTACGGCGTGCCTCGCACTACCAGAGCAGAAGGACCTTTTTGGATCCCCATCGCGCTCTAAGTGCAAACGTGGTTCATTTTATGGCATTCCATGGATCACATCGTACTCTGGACTGATGCCAATGCCAGAAGTGAAATTGACCTCTGGTCTTTTTGTTAGTAAATAGTAAATAACACTAGCTTACTGTGCACTGGACTCGGGCACCGCATGCGTCGTGTTGCGCATCGTCTTGCTCCGCATGCTCCGCACGCACCCTTAGATCATTTGGGGCCAGTCGCAACCTGTTAGATTTATAGATAACAGATGTCAAGCCTAGTAGATGACCTCTTAGGTGTCCTTGATGGTGCAATCCCAAGGGCAGAGGCTGCCCGCCTGCTCGCGGTAAACGGCAACGACCTAGCCGCAGCCGTCTCGGCGTACTTTTCAGAAGCTGAGGCGAGGGCATCAAATAATGCACCTCGCACGGCCCTTGAAAGGCTGCGCGATTGCCTGGGACCGGGACCACCGTCCGCACAACTTTCCGAGCTCCTTCGCAGGTATGTGCTTGCCTTTCAGGTTGTTGATTTCAATTTGTAGCTATTCCCACGGTTCCGACCTGTTCCAACGGCGAAATTCTATTGACAAGCTCTGTGGGGTTGCAGTGTTGCACGCATCGCACCTCCAATGCACCAACTTAGTACCAGGGATTGGAAGATGCTGCCTTTGTCTCCCCATCTAGCTATTAGTTGGTAAACTGAGCATTTTCCAGCGCCCTGCAAAACGTCTCCAACGTGCATGACTGGACATTGCGGGAAAGAAGCAACGTTCCCCAACCCGTTCCTAACACAGCCCCGCTGTTGTCACTATGTAGTACAAACGGCTCAGTCGATGCTGCAGCGGGGCTTTACTTCGACAATCCCAACGCGGGCCTGCCGCCCGGCGATGGTGCTGGCAGCAGCGGTCAACATGCCGCTGATCCAGCCAGGGAAGCGAGAGTGGGCATGGCTGCGGGCGGCGGCGGCGCCGCAGCTGCCGCAGCTGCTGCTGGTGACGGCCAGCGTGCAGTCGCGCCTGCGGGGCCTGCAGGGCCACGCCTACGTGAGGTGGTTAACCTGGCGGAAGGTAGTGACGGCGAGGGTAGAGCGCCCCCCAACGAGGGCCGCTTAGATGCTGCTCCTGCTGCTGCTGCCACGGCTAGATCCAACCCATCCGCTCGTCGTGAGGCCGACGCGCTGCTTGCTAGGCAGCTGTTTGGTGGCAATGCGCTTGATGGGCGGCAGGCGAACGGTGTTGCTGCTGGGGGAGCAGCCGCTGCCGGCGGCGGCGCTGGCAACGGGCAGCGGGCCCCTCTGCCGCCGAGGGCGAATGCGGAGCCCCAGCCGCATCAGCGGCAGCCGGTGCAGCAACAGCCGCGACCGGGCCAGCCCCCAGGTAGATGAGGGTTGGTTGCTTGAATGGGTTGGGGGGCATCGTCCTGGGTCTTTTGGCGCAGGATGGATAGCCCGCTTTGTCACCTGCAACAGTTGCCGCCGCGTTTATTGGAAACTGGACATCTGCTTTCTACACACCACGCAGGCGTGGCTGGCGGCGTGGGGGCTGAAGCCCAAGCTGCGGCGGCGCGGCAACCACCTGTTCCTGTTCCTGCTCCCGGTGCTGCTGCTGCGGCGGCAGCTGGTGCTGCAGCGGCCCCTGCTGCCGCAAGGGCAGCGCCAGCAGCAGTGCCGGCACCTGCTGCTGCAGCAGCACCGGCAGCGGCAGCAGCAGCGCCGGCACCTGCTCCAGCGGCGGCGAGGGCACCTGCTCCCGCAGTAGCGGCAGCGCCGGCAGCGGGAGCGCCGGCAGCAGCGCCAGCTGGGGTACCTGCAGCGCCTGTCGTGGCCGCGGCGGCTCCAGCGGCTCCAGCGGCGGCGGCGGCAGCAGGTGAAGGTGCCGCGCAGGCGGCACGGGAAGCTGCGGCTGAGTTGCTGCCAATCATGGACGGTGACATGCTTTGGCGGCGTAAGGTGAGCGTCGGACCGGTTTCCTTGCCACATGGTTCCTCTTGCATTCGGCTGCACCGCCATGCTTTTACCACGTTACCCCTCCGACCCAGATGCGCCGCAATCTCTGTTCCCACCGCCACTTCAACCCCCGACCCAGATCTCTTTCCCAAACCCATTCCGCGTTTTAGCTGCTCTTCTTGTCTTTCCTTGTCAAACCCGTCCGACCCACATCCAACCTACATTCCCGCCCCACATCCTGCAACACAGCGCCACCAAGGCCCCTACCCAAGTACCATGCGCCTGCCGCTGCCGGAGTGTCGCCGACCCGACGGGTCACTCTTCGTGGACGACCAAGACGGCGTGCCATGCAACCGGGTCCCGCCGCCTCCGCAGCAGCCTGGCAGCTCGTACACCTGGCCCATGCGGCTGGGGGAGGTCTTCGCGCCCCTGGACTTTCCATCCGCGCTGCCGCCGGGACCGGTGCGAGACGGCCTGGTTGGGATGGTGTCGGAGTGGGTTTCGAAGGTGCGGTTGGATTGGGTCGGTGCAATTTGGGTCGGTGCGATTGAGGCCGGTGCGATTTGGGTCGGGTGCAGCACGGCGATGCTATCCGTACGGAATTGTGGAACGATTCCAGCACAGGTGCGAATCACATGTAGCTTGACTGTGCATGATTCCAAGAGCTGCTGCCCTCCTGCCACGTGCAACGACCCATGTGGGCCAGTGTCCCTGTTTTCACCTCCGCGCTGCATGGACAAGGTCTCCAACCATACCGCCCACGGCCTCCCCCCGAATCCCTCGGCAACCTCCCAGGGCAAGCTCAACCCCACTCCTTACCGCAAGACGTGGTTGCAACCTGGTCAGCCTCTCGGCGGTTTATGTTGGAACTCGGAGCATATGAGGAGCATCCGGCCGGGCGGCGAGGATCGCCGCCAACTGGTGTTGTATGTAGTGGACGAGGCGTTCATTCGGGAAGCGCTGGACAAATATCCGGTGCGTTTGAAGGCCACGCGTTTTAGGGAGGGGCTGTTGGGCTGCTTTGCGGGAATCAAAGCACCTTTGCGGGTGTTGCGGACATTCAGCAGGCTCTGCTTTGCGGGATGGTCTACATAGCGCCTGGTTTCATCATGAATTGACAGCACAAAACGCCGCACCCATCGCATTCATGCGCACGCAATGTGTCGCTGCCGCTGCTGCCGCCTCCCTCATCTGCTCGTCACGACACGCCTGGCTGCACATGCCTGGCTGTTGCTTGAAACTGTACCAGAACAAACCCCGATGCATCAATAAACCGGCCGTAACCCTTATCAATCCGGCCCTGTCTGGCCCCCGATGTGCTCCGCAGCAACTTCACCCCAGCCTGGTTACCTATCGGTGGTTGGGGCCTGGCGGGGTTTTGGCGCGGTCGCTGCGGCTGGCCGAGGCCGCGGCTGGGAGCCCGCTGGAGCGGCTGGCCAGGGTGTACGACAGGGGCTCAGCAGTGAACAACCTGGCGACGACGAAACTGGATATGGTGAGGGCGTGCAATGGGCGGTGCGTGGTTGGGAAGGCACCAGGAAAAGTGGAAACGCATGTAGGGGTGGGCCCCTTGTCAGCTCCCGTCTTGCTGGGCCCTACATTGCATATGGCTACATGGCAAGCACTGCAACCGCTGCTTCTCTGACTGCAGTCTGCCGACGACGGACTTCTCGTCAATGTGCGCCTTTTCGGCCCCGGCTTGATCTTCCGAGACGGCTTTCCGCTCAAGACTGATCTCGAGGCCAACGAGCCTGGCGCCGCTTCTGGTGACGAGAGCGAACCCGGATCTGAATCGGACGACGAGGATTCGGATTCCAGCAGCGGCGATTTAGATTCCGACGTCGAAGGAGAGGGGGCTGCTTCTTCGCGTCCCGCCGTGGCCAAGAAGGGCAAGCAGTCGGCTGCGGGTCAGAAGCGCGGCCGCAATGAAGAAGTGGACGCCAGGGGAAAGGGGAAAGGCAAGGGCGGGGGCAAGGCGGCTGCGGCAGCCGACAAGAGGACGTCTAAGGCGGCGGGTAGAGGCGGTAAGAAGGCAGAGGAGGAGAGCAAGGGGAAGAAGATGAAGCAAGACAAGGAGGCAGCGGCGCCGCCGCGTAAGCGAGCCAGGAAGGACGATGCGGTAGCAGCGGCTGCCGCAAAGCCAGCGAAGAAAGCAGGTAGGAGGAACGGGCGGTCGCACATTCTTAGGGCACATCGTTACCACTTACCGGCAGTACCGGATGTACTTGTGCATCCTCATTTTCACCCTGCTCCCCTTTCAGTCCGCAGCGCCTCTGAGCGCCATTCGTGCCGCTTCTCCTTATCTTTCAAACGATACCAACAGTTCGGACCTGGGTAGCTCGCGCATGACTGCACGCATGCACCTCTGCGGCTGCTTTTCCTTCATGTCCTCCTCCTCCGTCCCTCTGCTGTGCACTTCAGCTCATGCGGGCGGTAGCGGCCGCTCAGGCGCTGCTGCTGCTGCGGGAGGTGCGGGTGGTGTCGCGGGTCCTTCCGCTGGCCGACGCGGCCCCCCTCCCCCGGGCTTCGGCGACGGTCGCTTCCATGTGGGCCTGGAGTTCTTCATGACTGAGGAGAAGCTGCAGGTGAGGGTGAGGTCAGTCATGGGGAGCTGCAGGTGAGGATGTGATGTGCCGCGGGTTGGCCCAAGATCTCGCAACCCGTGCTTCCCTCTGCGTGCGTGTAAAGGCAGTAAAGCTGCGTCTCCCTCGTCGTTGCGGCGTCGGTTGTGCTTCGGCACATGGCCGCATGCCGCACCCTGCTCGACGCCTGTGCAGAAGGTGCACCCATGTGCTCCCATGTTTGTGCACCATGCGAGTCCCATGTGGCCCCCTGCTGAGGGTACTGACGGCTTTCCATGCCGCTCCCCCGCCCCCTGCTGAGGGTACTGACGGGTTTCCATCATGCCGTTACCCTCCCCCCCTGCGCTGCACCAGGTCACATCCCCCCCGGGGGCCAGCAAGGTCGACAACGGAGTGCGCAGGAGGTGCGTGGGTCGTTCCTCTGGGTTGTTCGTCTGCTGCAGCTGGACGTGTGTTGGGAGCACTGACTGGGACGTGTGTTAAGAAAGCTGGCCGTGAGTAGAAACGTACACGACGTGTTTGCAGGCAGTGGTCTCTGCCCCAACCTTTGCGACGAGGGGACAGGCAACGATGTAGCGTGCCTATGCCCGGGGAGCTGCCCTTGCTCGCCAGGGCCTCCCCGTTCTCTTATACCCACGTGCATGCCTGTTGCCGTACACGGAACTTACCCCTCACGTCTCGTCTCGTCACACGTTTCGCCCCCCTCTCGGCCTCCTCTGCACACGCACAGGGTCGCTGGCGCCGTCCGGGGCTACTCCCGTACGGAGGCGGAGGAGCTCTCTGCCGTACTGCATATACTGCTGGAGTACGGCAGCGGCATTCTGGTGGGCCCTGACTGCGACGGGGCGATCAACACGGGAGACGCCGCCGTGGTGGCTGCGGGAGCGGGCGGGAGCAGGGGTCAGGCGGCGCAGGGTAGGTGGGGCTGCTACTTGAAGCAGAGCCTTGAGGGGGCGGTTTAGTGGCGTAAGGGTGTTCCTGCATCTGCTTTAGACACCGTTTATATTGCATTAATAACCCTGCGACCGTTTTGCTGATGGCCTCGCTTGCCCGCGCGCTGCAGATGCCGGAGCGGGTCCAGGGCCCTCAGCGGGCGGCGCCAGAGGCCGTGCGGGCAGCGTCGAGTCGGAGGGGGCTGGAGGAGCGGCTGCGGCTGCGGCTGCTGGGGTTGCGGCTGAAAATGGCGAGGAGGTACGTATATGGCGCACTCCTGTGGTACTTCTGTTTTTAATCTCCCTCACCCTTGCTGTCCCACCTCTTGCCTGCCTGGATTGACCTCAATACAGCTGCAACACCACCCCCAAGCCCCGTTCCACTCTTGTCATCCGTAATTGCTTCTGTGCCCTATCTCCTGACGGCTACGGCGCACCCGTCCCTCGCTCTGCTCCTCATCCATTACGTCCCTGCCGACTCCCCCTCCTTGTTACCCCTCCCTGTTATTCCCCCCTTGTTACCCCTCCCTTCTTACCCCCCCCCCTTCCCCGCAGGTTCACGACCTGGACTCGCTGCTGGACAGCATCCGGCCGCCCGCCGATCTGCCCCAGGCAGCCCCTCCGCCTGCAGTGCTGGCGCACCCCAAGCCCTTCCAGCTACAGGTGGGCAGCAGCATGTGACAACCCGGGCATGCGAGGAATGAAAGCCACCAGTGCTACTTGTGCTGAGCGTGCGGCTTGTGCTGGTCTGGTGGATGCAGTAGCCTGTTGCTCTTGAAGGCTTGCAGCCAATGAACTGGGGTTGCGGTATTACCGGTAGCTTATCACGTGCACCGTATAGTTGTTGGGTGCTGTTGTTTGCTGCCCTGGCAGCCGCATGATGCTGCTCACTGAGTTGCTGATTGCTGTGTTGCTCTCTTGCTGTGTTGCTGCTGCTGCGCCGCCGCAGGGTCTGGAGTGGATGTTGCGGCGAGAGCGGCGAGGCGACGCGGTGGGGCGCTCGCTGCTGCTGCTGCACCCGGCTTGGGCGCAGGTGGGAGGAGCTGTGCGCTGGTAATGGCCTCTTGGGCCCTCTTCCACGTCTGCGCAATGAGTGACCTGTGTCGCTCTAGCAGCGGGGCCATGCACGTGCGTGTGCTGTATATGCCTGAAGACATGCCTGGCCTTCGTTCCCCTGTTCTTCCCGCTCCCTTACCTTGCAACCCTACCACATTCCCATATCTCTCAATACCACGCCCTCCTCCCTTGCCCGCCCTCCCCCTCCCCCTCCTTCGCCTCCTCCGCCTCCACCCGCTCCCCCAGCTGGTGGTGTCGAGCTCGGGCCTGGTGCTGCACGTGCACCGCCTGCAGCCGCCCTACGTCTCGCCCGACTTCTTCCCCTCGCCGGTGGGCGGCACATGCGGCGGCTTCTTGTGTGACGAGGTGAGGCAGGTGGGAGAGGCGGTCGTGTGGTGCTTGTTGTCGGCATGGCAGTCGTGGCAGCCGGGGTTGGAGCAGACAAGGCAGTAGCGGTTGAGGCCTCGCGCACACCCGCGCGCGCGCGCAGACAGGGGGGCCGCCAGTGGTTGGGGGAGGGCGCCGGGTTGGAAGGGTTGAAGGGGAGAGCCCGTGTGACGTGATGCGCTTGCGGGAAGGGAGGAGTTCAGGCGGGGACGACGCCTCTGCTCGGTCGGGCGCCGCGGTCCGGGTGCTATAGCAGCAGACGGTCTGCTGCTTCGCCGCAGGGACCGCAGGCACGTCCTGCGGGTCGCGTGTTGCCTGTTCATGTGGTTTTCATGTGGCTTAGTGACACGCTTCTTTGACGCTCCCGGCCACTATGCCGACCCATTCTCCCCCCGCCCGCATGCAGATGGGCCTCGGCAAGACGCTGCAAACGCTCATGCTCCTCGTGTCCAACCCGGCGCCCGCGGACTGGCCGGCCAAGCCCGTCCCGTTCAGCGGACCTGCGGTTGATCGGCTGTGGAGAACGCATTGCTGGCCCAAACGGAGGGGCGGCGGCAGCGACGGCGGCAGCAACGATAGCGCTGCTGCGGCGGCTGCGGCCCCGGCTGCGGCGGCGTCACCGGCTGCGGCTGCGGCACCGGCGGTCCCCAGGTTAACTGGCTTGGAGGATACTGCCCAAGACGAGCCCATCCCCGTGCGTACAACGCTGCTGGTGATGCCGGCTAATTTGCAGGTGGGTTGGGGGTTGTTGGGAGGTTGCGGATGAGACCGGGGTGTGCGACGGAGTGAGTTCCGCCATGGGTGCCATCCTGGTTGCCGACCCGTCCTGCTGGTTGGTTGGAGGTAGTTGGGAGTGGGTTGGCTCGGGGTGCAGGGAGGTGGGGGGGTTAGTGTTGGTGGGGAGGGGGCACCTGGAGCTGTGGTAAAAGCCACAGCTGCGCGACTCATCCGCAGCTCTGTCGAGGGGACGCTTGGTGGGCGCAAGGCACGGCCACCTCTGTGAAGTATGTGGCATCTGTGTTGCCACCGCTCACGTCTTCCTGTGCTCCGCTTTACCTCTTCCCTTCCCTCATCCCTCTCTCCCTTCCCTCTTTCCCACCTCTTCCCTGCCTCCTTGCCTCCCACTTCCCTGCCTCACAGGATCAGTGGGTGGAGGAGATTCAACGGCACCTGCAGCCCGGAGCCATCCGCTGGTGGGGGGGGGGAGGAGGTTAAAATCGACCAGGCTGGGGGGAGGGGAGCGAGCGAGTCATGTTTTCTCCCTCAAGAACGGCCGGAGGGGGCTGACTTCCCCTCTTCCTGAGGAGCAGAACAGCTACCCGCACACCCTAGCCAGTAACCATCTTGCCTAAACACGCGTGTAACCAACCAACCCCTAACCACCGTCCTCCTCACAACAAACTCCCCACTTACCACTCCCCTCACAGGGCTGTCTTCCAAGGCCGCGACGACAGCAAGCCCTTCGTGCAGCTCCCCAGCTGCCAACTGGGGGACTACCTGCCCGATCCAGCAGCAGCAGCAGAAGCAGCCGACGGCGGGGCTGCGGCGGCCGACGGCATCAGCGACGACGTACGGACCCGCCGCCGTCGGGCCGCACGACAGGTGGCCAGTTTGGTGGCGGCGCAGGGGCGCACGCGGCTGGGGCCGAAGCTGCTGCCGCCGGTGATGGCACAGGGCGCGGATGGGGCCCTGGTAAGAGCAATACTGAAGGCCGGGGAGTAAGTTGCACGTTGCCTGTTTAGGGCCCAGGGATTGACAGGTTGGGATGGAGTGGACTCCTTTTTCCTCTACTACGGTGCTGCGGTGTCTCTGATGTCGTGAGTTTCACCTTGTACGACACAGGAAGCTTATTCCCCTGCTTATTCCCCTGCAACAACATGCCAACCCATACCTCACAACTAACCCCAAAACACGCCTCTCCCCTCTTCCTCATCTCACCTCCCCCCCCCAGGTTGCCGTACACTCATGCGACGTCGTACTCGTGTCGTATGAGGTCCTGCGGCGGGAGCTCTCCCTGCGCGGTGGCGGAGGCAGCGCCTCTGCCGGCGCGCTGCTGTCGCGGTTGGGCTTCTGGCGCATTGTGCTGGACGAGGCGCAGCTGGTGGCCAACAACAACAGCGTGGCGGCGGAGGTGGTGAGCTCGCTGTACCGGCGGCATGCATGGGTGGTCACAGGTGGGAGGGCGGGGAAGGAAAGTGTGTGCAGGCGGCAGGTGCGGAGGAACTAGCACGCAAGCCGCTTCCGCCACAGTCGGCAAGTACGGCGCTTTCGAGCGTCGGACGCGTCCGCCTCAGACTCAGCCGTGTCCTCGTCCCCCGAGCTGGTCCCCATCGTTGTGCGCCAAGCAGGAGCTGCTATGGAAACACCCGGGAGGGTCAGGACACGGCTGCGTCTGAGGCGGACGCGTCCGACGCTCGAAAGCGCCGTACTTGCCGACTGTGGCGGAAGCGGCGGCGGCATCGTAAGCCCCCAACTGCTGTTGCTGTTGCAGCATGTACGGCATTGCCTGCGAAACCGACGGATGCTGGATGTACGGCTGAGGCAGGGGAAGACAGGCTCAGGAGTGATGGTTGTTGAGCTGACTTGGTTCATTATTGTATGTTTACAAGAAATGCAGCTGTGTATGCTTTGAAAATACCGGTATAAAAGCAAAATTGGTTTGGTCCAACTCCGCAAGGGTCAAAAGCCTCAAGTGGCATCCTTTTCCTGCCTTTGCCGCTCCACTCCACTTGCGCCCTACCCTGCGCCTGCCTGCCAGGCACGCCCATCTCCAGCAAGTTGGACGAGGTGCAGGGGCTCTGCGAGTTCCTGTCGTACGAGCCGTACTACCAGGGGCCCGTGTGGCGCAACCTCGTACAGCTGCCGTACACGCAGCGCAGCCCCATGGGCGTTGCGTCCTTCCGGTAGGGGGGCGGGGGGCCGTACCGCTACACAATACCCCTGGTATGCCGCCACCGCCTTACACCTCATTTCACCACTGCACTGCGTTTTTGTTAGCCCCTTGTTACACTTGCGGTTACACTTACCCCCCGGTACTGTAAGTTTCAACATGGCATGCCTTCCTCTCTGCGCCCCGGTGCATCACGCACACACACCGAACCTATCCCAAGTGCTTGCTCTTGTTTCCGCTCAACTACACACACACACCCTCCGCAGTTCGCTGTTGCGAGGTGTGATGCTGCGGCGCAGCAAGGCGGGGGTGGAGGCCCAGCTGGCGCTGCCGCCCTGCAGCCACGTCACCATCCGGGTGCAGCTCAGCGGGGTGGAGCGGGCCTTCTACGACGTGCTGCGGGTGCGATGGGTTTAAGGAGTGGTGGGTGGTTGGGGGTCAGAGTTGAGTCGAATGGCGAGTAAAACGATTGGTGCTGCAAGTCAGGGCAAGGTAATGGGGCTTGAGAGTTGGTGTGGGCCCCCTTCCCTTTTCCCTCCGCTTCAGAACCGCTACAACACCCTGATGGCCTCCGCACGGGCTGCGGCTGCAACGCGGGAGGGAGGCATTGCAGCGGCGGCGGGGCGGGCTGGCGCCCCCGCTGTCGAGCACAGTGACGACAGCGACGATGGCGGCGGCGGCGGCCGGCGGCGGCGGGGTCTGGGCCGGGGCCGTGCTGGCAGCGGCCGGGCCATCGGTGACGACAACCGGCGCTCCAACATCAGGTGCGTTCGGAGGCCGTTGCGATGTGTGTAGAGAGGGTATTGTCAGGATCTTCAGGATCTGCAGGATCTGCACGATGCACACACGCACAGGAGCAGGGCTTGGTCCTGCATTGCATGGAACGTACGACGCATGGCAATCCGTAATGAGGTAGCACAGGAAGAGTGCACGTATCCGAGGGTTGGGCGTTTGGAGGACCTTCTCTGAGGCGGGACTTGCAGCGCTGCTTGCAAGCCCTTGCAAGTCGTTACAACCTACCGGTAGCCCTTCATGTCATTCTCCCGCTGCCCCGCCTGTCCACCTGCCCCTCCTGTCCCGCTGCCCCCTGTTCACCCGCCAGCAACAACCAGCGCGCCCAAATCGCCCTAGTGGAACTGCGGCAGGCCTGCTGCCACCCCCACATTGTACGGAGGGTGGCGGAGGCAGCGGACGCAGCAGCGGGGGCCTCCAGGGGGCGTGGCGGCGGTGCAGGTGGAGGTGGCAGCGCCGGGGCTGCAGCGGCGGACAAGGGCAAGGGCGGTGGAGGCGGCGGTGGCGGGCAGAGCATGAGGCAGATCATGGCCAAGCTGGTCTCGGATGCGTACTCTACTTACGACCTGGTACGGCAGGGGTGGTGTACGGCAAGGCGGTGTACGATAGGGTGCCTTGTGTGGGTTTCAGGTAAAAGCCGTGCATAGATTGTGAAGCTTCAGCATCGTCATCGCCCGCAATGTGACGCTCCACGGGTACATGATGCGCCACACGTGTTGGACTCCGTATGGCTCCGACGAAGGCAGCGAGGACCGACCGAACTGGCTTCCGCTCAGAATTTTGGTAACAAGTTGTCCGTTGTGTTTTGTATGGCTGCAGGCCGTGGTCGCGTACTTTGCTTGCCGGATGCAGCAGGCCGCCCTATCGGACTTTGGAGCGTTGGGCGGTGAGGCGTGTGGGCCGACGGGGGGTGGCATGAGCGGGCGGGTGGGAGATTGATTGCCGGACCTGGATGAGAGGAGGGCCGTGAAGGGTCACCTGGACTCTCGGTGGTGCGCAGAACAGTAGAGCAAGCATCCAATGCCATTCTTTTCTTTTGCCCCTTCCTTCCTTCCTTTCTTCCTTCCTCACCGAAGCCCCATGTGAGGCCCCGCACACCTGTCTTCCATGCACGCAGCAGGCCCCGACGGCGGCTCCGCCGGGCCTTCAAGTAGCGCTGCCGCCCTCCTGCGGGCAGCCGGGGCCAACAACAACAACAACGATAACAACAATAACAACAACAACAGGGTGGCACCGCGCGCCAACGGCCCCTCCATGCTCGCGTCCATCATGCAAGCAATAGCTGGGCCGTGGATGCGGCGAACTGCCAAGCCAGCGGAGGCGGCTGCCCGGCCGCTGGGCGGCGGCGGTGGCAGCGGCAGCGCTGCCGGCGGCAGCGCCAACCTGCCGACCGATGCCGCCGCCCAGGTCGCTGTGGGATCGCTGCTGGAGGCTGGAGGGGCTGCCGGGGCCCCTGCGGACGACGGCAGCAGCGGGGCCGCAGCAGGCGGCAGCGGCCGACGTGGCAGCAGCGGCGGAGGCAGCACTTGGGCGTTCAGCGACGCCGTGGGCACGCTGGGATGGCTGATTGAGGACATTCGGCGAATGGGGCTGCTGGTTTCGGAGACGGATGTGGCTGCGCAGGCGCGGATCCGAAAGGCTGACGGCGGCATTGACTGGGATAAGGCCGGCATGGCGGCGGCGTTTCGTGCTGCCGCCGATGGCAGTGGCGCCGGCGGCAGTGGTGGTGGCGGTGGTGGTGGCTTAGCGGGCCGTGCGCTGACGACGGCGGAGGAGCAAGCCCGCGAGCGGAAGTGCGTTGGAGGGAGTGTGGGAGGGACACTGAAGCTTCACCGGCAACATACTGCTCTCTGCTGCTCTCGGCTGCATGTCCAGTTCGTTTTGTATGCTATAGCGGTTTCTTACCCTCTGGTTATGGTGACCGGTATCGCAGCTGCCCCTCCTTACTGACCCAATGCCCCCGTTGCTGCCGTTCCCACCGCAGACGCCGGTGGCAGCGGCAGGAGCTGGAGGGCCTCATGCTGTGCACGTACATCGCCTGCCTCAAGGCGCCGTACGGCACACTGCAGCTCCTCGCCAGCCGCGCTAATGCCAGGTCCATGACGGAGGCAGCGGCGGCAGCGGGGGAGGGGGCCGCGGCGGCGGCGGCGAAGGCGGAGCGCCTAGCGGAGGCGCTGGCGGCGGCGCAGGAGAATGCTGAGGTGGGACTTGCCTTGTACGAGTCTAACAACGGCCAGGTCGGCGGAGGTGGGGCAGCTGGCGGAGGCGGAGGTGGGGCAGCGGTGGTGGGTGCGGCGCCTCAGGATCAGCAGCGGAAGAGGCGGCGAGCTGAGGAGGAGGAGGAGGATGACGGCGCGGCAGCTGGTGAGGATGGGGATGCAGCGGCGGCGGAGGCGGCTGAGGCGGAAGTAGGGGCGGACGGTCCACAGCTGAAGAGGCGCAGGGTGGGATTTGCCGGCGGGGTTGACGACGCCGCTGGGTCGGCGGCAGCAGGTGGTGTCAGCGGCGCCGGTGGTCCAAGCATGATGCTGGTGGAGAAGCTGAGGAAAGCCGCAAAGGCGCAGGCGGGGGCACAGGCCGAAGCGGCGGAGGGGCAGGGCGCTGCTCAAGGCAATGCAAGCGGCGGCGACGGCGGCGGCGAGCCGGCGCAATCTGACAACCAGCTGAGGAGGCTGGCGGACAGGTTGCGGGTTGCCGCCAAAGCAGCCTCGGACGCCAAGGACGCTGAGAGCCGGGCCAGGGTCACCGCGGAGACGGCGGCGGAGTTGGCGGCGGCGGCACGGGCGGCGGCGGCGGCGGAAGAGGCAGCGGCGGATGCGGAGGTGCTGGCTGCGGTGCGGTGGCTTGAGGAGCTCGGGGAGGAGGCCAACACACTGCGCGGCAAGATGGGGCTGGAGCGGGTGGAGTGGGTGCTGGCGGAGTCGGACCTGCGCCGCAGCAGGAGGCAGCAGCAGGAGGGCGGAGCGGCGGGCGCAGGTGGGGGCGGCGGGTGGGGGGGCAGTGAGGGCGGAGCGCCTTGGGTGTGTCGTTTTGTCGGTGCTGGAGAGGTGTTGTGTTAGCTTGAGCTTCTTCCGCTGTCCGTTGCCGGCGTTTATTACCGGTAGCGTTAATACGTATCGGTATGTAGAAGCCCTTGTTGACATGTGTACGACGCGGCGCAGGTCCTAGCGGTTCGGGTGCGGGCGTCATCGTGGGCGGCGGCGGTCTGCGAGGTGCTGGCGGGGTGTCGGATGAGGAGGAGAGCGACGAGGAGGACGAGTGGCACGACAGCGACAGCAGCAGCAGTGGGGAGGACGACCGCCGAGGGCGGGGCGGGGGCAGGCGCAGGAGCGGCAGACGGTAAGGGTGGGGGGTAAAGAGAGGGGGAAATTTATAGATAAGCGCAGCAACGGAGTCCCAATCCCGACTCATGCAGTGTTCTAGAAACACGCAACTCAAGAGAGGGGGGGCAACTGACCAACCGAATTGACGTATGCCGTAGAGGCGGATAGGGGGACGCGGTGCTGGAGGGCTTGGACCTGTGGGTTGGGAGCTCATCTTGCTATACCACCACCCTCTGCCAGCCATACCGGCCGGCCGTAGCGTGTCTGTTTTGAACCAGCTACCTGATCCCTACCCTCTCCTCCTTAGTCCTTTAACTCCTCCTCGCAACTCCTTCTCCTCCTGAACTCCTTCTCCGCTCCTCACTCCTTCTCCTGACTCCCTCTCCGCAGTTCCAGCGGCGGTTCAGACCTGGTGGGCGGCGGCCGACGAGGCGCTCGCACGCCCGCGGGCCGGCGGCGGCGGCGACACTCGCGCAAGCCCGATGCTGGCGCCGCCGCTGCGGCGGCTGACGGCGGCAGCGGAGGCGCCCTGGCGGGTCAGCTGGTGTCGCTGGGCGGCACTCCCTCCCAGGAGGCACTCTTCCGGTAGGGAGGGCGCATGGGGGCCTTCGATATTAACTTGTCGTTGTGGGCTACGGTATGCCGGTAGCCCGGGAGAAAGCAGCGAGACCGTAACCCTTTTGCCCGCGTGGGAGGATTGTTTGTCCCTAGCATCAAGAGGACGTTTCCCCGCTGCCCTACCTCCCTGTCCTTCATGCTTACTGTTTCCTCTTTACTTCCTGCCCCCCTGCCCCCGCCGCCCCACCGCCCCACCGCCCCGCCTCCCCCCCTCTCTCCCTCCCAGGTCCGAGACCGCCGCTCGCTTCTTCCTGCAGCACCTGGGCCGCAAGCCCGAGGCGCGGGGCCCGCAGCTGAAGGGCGAGGAGGGCCGGCTGCTGCAGCCGGTGCGGGAGGCGTACAGCTCGCTGCAGCACCTGCTCAACCAGTGAGTGGGCGCCAAACCGGAAGGCCAAACCAGAAACTGATTGGGGGGTGGGGATGACATACTCCCTAATTACCTTGCATGGGGAGAGGGAGACGGGAGCTCAGGAATGAGGGAAAGGGAAGGGGGGGTTGGCGGCAGCAGCTGCTGCCGGTGCATGGCGTTTGCGGGCGTGTAGCTAGGTTGCGGTCTGCGCCAAAGGCACCCAACTGTGTGGGCAACTGTACCCTCCACACGCACTGTCGCACACCGGTCACCCCCTAGAAGGCTGGCTTGAGTCTCATCCTCATCCCCATTCCCCTCCCTCTTTCCCCCCCCCCCCGCGCGCAGGCAGGAGCAGCTCGGACTGTCCGACGCCCAAGTAGCCGCCCCAGCTCCTGCTGCCTCAGCAGCTGCTGCTGCCGCCGCTGCTGCCGCCGCTGCCGGCCCCTCCACCTCTGCAGCTGCTGCGGCTGCTGCTGCTGCCCCGCCGTACAACGGCACTGCTGGCTCCTCCGGCAGCGGTGGCAGCGGCAGCGGTGCCGGGCCGTTGGGAAGTCAGGCTGCTGCTGCTGCCGCTGCTGCGGCTGCTGCTGCAGGCCCCCCTCAGCCCGGCGCCGGCATCCCCAGCTGGGGGTCGCTTACCGGGGCCGGCTCTGCAGCGGGTGGTGCGGGTGCTGCAGGGGCGGGTGCTGCGGGTGCGGGTGGGGAAGTGGAGGAGTTCAGCTGCCCCATTTGCCTGGACAACTGCGAGCGGCGCACCATCACGGTGTGCGGACACACCTACTGCACCGACTGCATACACGACATCGTGCAGGTGGGGGGGGGGGGACAAAGACCATACCGAGCCATAGGAAACCGCAGGTGGGGGAGGACAAAGACCATACCGAGCCATAGGAAACCGCAGGTGGGGAGGGAGGACAAAGACCATACCGAGCCATAGGAAACCGCAGGTGGGGAGGGAGGACAAAGACCATACCGAGCCATAGGAAACCGCAGGTGGGGGGGGAGGACAAAGACCATACCGAGCCATAGGAAACCGCAGGTGGGGAGGGAGGACAAAGACCTTACCGAGCCATAGGAAACCGCAGGTGGGGAGGGAGGACAAAGACCATACCGAGCCATAGGAAACCGCAGGTGGGGAGGGAGGACAAAGACCATACCGAGCCATAGGAAACCGCAGGTGGGGAGGGAGGACAAAGACCATACCGAGCCATAGGAAACCGCAGGTGGGGAGGGAGGACAAAGACCATACCGAGCCATAGGAAACCGCAGGTGGGGAGGGAGGACAAAGACCATACCGAGCCATAGGAAACCGCAGGTGGGGAGGGAGGACAAAGACCATACCGAGCCATAGGAAACCGCAGGTGGGGAGGGAGGACAAAGACCATACCGAGCCATAGGAAACCGCAGGTGGGGAGGGAGGACAAAGACCATACCGAGCCATAGGAAACCGCAGGTGGGGAGGGAGGACAAAGACCATACCGAGCCATAGGAAACCGCAGGTGGGGAGGGAGGACAAAGACCATACCGAGCCATAGGAAACCGCAGGTGGGGAGGGAGGACAAAGACCATACCGAGCCATAGGAAACCGCAGGTGGGGAGGGAGGACAAAGACCATACCGAGCCATAGGAAACCGCAGGTGGGGAGGGAGGACAAAGACCATACCGAGCCATAGGAAACCGCAGGTGGGGAGGACAAAGACCATACCGAGCCATAGGAAACCGCAGGTTGGGGCAAGACAAGGCAAGGCTCGTGGGGTCAAAGACCATACCATACCATACCATACCATAGGAAGCCACAGGGTGGTGGGTGGCCTACGTGCACATGGAGGCCAGCCAGCGGGGAATACCGGTTGGGGGGTGGGGAGATCACAAGTAGGGTGATAATGGCCATGTATGTGGCGTTGTTGTTGATAATGATGTTGACGACGTGCTGTGGTAGGCCGTAGCCCCCAAACTGACTGCAGCGCTGGGCCCCTTGTGTTCGGTAGCCGCCCCAGCGCTGCCGCTCGCACCCACCCAGTGAACGACACCAGCAGCACACCCTCCCTCTCTTCCCCTCCCTCCTCTTCCCCTCCCCGTCACAACACCCCACCCCCCGGGTGTCCCATGCATGCATGCATGCATGCAGAACAAGGGCACGGCGCCCTGCCCCATCTGCCGGCGGCCGCTCACTCGGGAGAACCTGTTCGACAGGTGCGTGGGGACGGGGCCGTAGGGGGGGGGGGGATATATGTCGAGGGGGGTGATGAGACAGAGCATCCAAACCAGGAGAGGGGACGAGGTTAGCTGCATGCACGCATGCATGCAGGCAGGCACGACCCAGCTTGCATGCCCTTGCCAGACCTTGTGGGATGAGGCAGCGAACCTCTCATGCTGGCGGAGCTCCGCATGCACCCCGTCTCCCCACACATCCCTGCTCCTCCCCGCACGCAGTGTCCCCGAGGAGGAGGCGGCGGAGGATGAGGCCCTGGCGGCGGCGGCCGCAGCCGCGGCACCGGGCGCAGCTGGAAGCAGGGGCGGCAGCGGGGCCGGAGGCGATGATGCGAACTACGGATCCAAGGTACGGCAGCAGCATCGCATCGTCACGTCTCTGGGCCCCTCCTCCCGCCCCCCCCCCGGGCTTGTTGTGTGATGCTAATAACCCAACAGGTTTGACTACCGGTATACGCAATCCTAAAATCTAGCTTCATGCGGAATCTTCATCCCTATCCGCCCCCAGGTATCCGCGCTGCTGTGCGAGTTGCGGCGCATGTCGTCCGAGCAGCCCGGCAGCTGCAAGGCGCTGGTGTTCAGCAGCTGGGGCCGCCTGCTGCGGCTGGTGCAGCAGGCGCTAGCGGATAACGGTGGGAGGAGGAGGGAAAAGGCTGGGGGGAGAGCGGGCATAAAGATGCCGCGGGGGTGATGGTGCTGCTGTTGCTGGGGGCTGGGGGCTGGGGGCTGGGGGCTGGTACGGGATGGTGGTGTGAGTTCTTGTTAGAGGGCCGCCGCGGCACCTGCCTCCTGGCTTACCTGCCACCGGCTATCCCTCCCTCCCCTGCCTTTCCCTGCCTTCCCATGCCGCCTCCTACCCCCATTGCCTTGCCCTAACCTGTGGTTTCCTATGGTTTGGGCTGGTCTTCGACGCCCCTGCCCCCGCAGGCATCCGCTGCGCCAGTCTGGTGGGCGGCGGCCCCGCGGTGCGGCAGGCGGCGCTGCACTCCTTCCTGCACGACCCGGACTGTCAGGTGCTGCTGCTGCTCAAGACGCACAGCGGAGGAGCAGCGGGTGAGGGGGGTGAGGGGAAGGCGGAGACGGAGGGGTAGTCTGAATGAGAGTGAGGTGCGAGGGGTGTTGGTGTAATTGGAGCCGTGCAGCTGCAGTAGGGAGGTGTCGGAAGCTGCCCAGCAGGAAGGGGTTGCAGTGGTGGGGGGGCTACGGTGCTGGGGCGTCAGGCCAGGAGCCTCCCTCAACCCTGTCCTGCCCTGCCCTGCTTTATGCTGCAGACGTACCCCTTAAGGACGCCTCTGCTATCGTGTCTTCCTCCTCCTGCCCTCCTCCTGCTCGTCGTCTTGCCTGCCGTTCTCATTCAACACACTTCGTTTTTGGCCCCCACCCCTGGCCCCCTCCTCCCGTCCTCCCCCCCCGTCCCCCAGGTCTGACCCTCACCGTGGCGCACACCGCCTTCCTGCTGGAGCCGGCGTTGAACCCGGGGCTGGAGGCGCAGGCGGCGGCACGCATCTGGCGGCTGGGGCAGCAGCGGCCCACGCGCGTGGTGCGCATCATTGCGGAGGACACTGTGGAGGACAGGTAGGGGGGGGAGCGGGGGCAGGGGAGGACAGGTAGGGGGGAGCGGGGGCAGGGGGCAGGGGAGGACAGGTAGGGGCGGGGGGTACATGGGATACGGGTACGGGTGGGGGCGGTGCGGTACTTGGGTGGGGGCGGTCACACTGCATGAATTGAGAGGAGGGGATTATGGTGCAGGTGGGTGTGGAAGAGGAGTGGGATTGTATGCATCAGTTGCCGTTATCTCCTGGCCCGCGCCCCTCGCCCTCCTGCCGTCCCCAGGGTGCTGGCTCTGCAGCAGCACCGGCAACAGCACGGAGGCACCGCGGGGGCAGTAGCGGCGGGGGCGGCAGCGGCAGGGGCAGGCGGCGAGGCAGGAGGCGGCGAGGGCGGCGGCGTGGAGACGGTGGACGGAAACGTGTTGATGCGCTTCTTTGACAGGGTGTAGAGGCAGGATTGTAGAGGGATGGCTGCAGAGGGCGGGTCGTGGATGGAGGGCTGTAATGCATGAAGCATCATGAGAGCTTGGAGGGGTGCCAGGTTTTTTACGTGTAGTGCATGGCAGCGGCAGTAGCCAAGCAGGAGGGAGGTGATAGCTCTTGAGACGCAGGTGGGGGACGCAGGTGGGGGACGCAGGTGGGGGATGAAGACTAGGATTACAGGCAGTCCGCAGGAGGCATCGAATGTTGTGCAGGGTTGGCCATCGGCTGACTATGAATGAAGATTGAAGCGATCCTAGACAGAAACGTTTGCCATGCAGCAGCCCTGTGTTGCAGCGGGAACCAGGGAAGGGGCTGCGTGACTGTGTGCGATGCCCTGAGATGCAAAACCATCAGGAAGACGGCCCCTCACCATTTCGCCACGTGAATATAAGGGGCCGGGGCTTTGCGCAGCAGGTGGTAGCGTTGTTGCAGTCCCACCCGTTTGGCACGCGGCTCGGAGAAACGTTTTCCATGCCGGATTGCATGCAGCCGCATGGATGCCGCTGGAAACACTGTACATGGTTTGTAGGGCGGTCGTGGTTTACAAGCAGCAGGTGGTATGATGATAACACAGGCGTAGCGAGCATTAGCCCCGCGGTTTGCGTGGGTCGCATGGCTGCATGGTGGGGCTGAGCGGAGGTACTTTCCTGTGGCGCGAGAGGCGGGTGCCGCCCGGTGCCAGTGCACGCGGCGCGTGGCTGCGGGTTTGCTTTCGAGGAGCCGCAGGGGGGGACCCGGGGGAACTGCTGAGGGAGCCCTGATGTTTGGGCCTTGCTGTGGATCCCAACTCCCAAGGGCCCCTGTGCATGCCAGCACGCCGGCTTCTGCATGGCGGGGATTAAAGGGTTCTGGCTAGACCAGCCGCTACTCGGCCACTGTTGTCAACAGCTGCCATGCAGGGCCCGATCAGCTTCGTCGGCCTCCCCGCATCCCTCGGTGCTGCCCCACTTCCCCTGGGGACCCGGGGACAGGCCTTATGCTCCGGACACCTCCAGGGACACTGTTGGAAGGCAAGAAGGAAGGATACTTAAGGGTGCGAGCAAGCCAAAGCCGGAGGGAATTCCATACCGGAGAATGAGGTTGCTATCATGGACTATGTTAGCTATTGAGAATTCGGGCTCCGGGGTTTCGGAGCCGCTTGTTCGTACCAACGGACGGTTATCAACGACTTTACGTATTTCCAGCTCTCGTGGACAGCATCTTGCACTTCCTTCTGAACACTGAGGTAATTAGATGGAGATTTCCTTTCTTTATCCAAGTTAGCAATTAAACAGATGAGCAATCCCTTGTCAGCCCTGCTCGCGGACCAAGGCTTCGTTTTATTGGACGGTGCTCAGGGCACCGAATTGGAGAGGAGAGGAGTGTACTTTGGCGCCTCTAAGCTCTGGAGCGCGCAGCTATTAATCGACAATCCAGACCTGTTGCGCGAAGTCCATCTGGACTACCTGCGCGCTGGTTCAGGTGCGGCGAAGATTCCACTATTGGAACTGCAAAAAATTCCCTGCAAAACAATCTTTGACCTAGCGCGCATCTAGCTGCGTGGAGTCAACCGCTGCCCCTGCCCTCCTTCCTGCTGCCCGGCTCGGCCTCCCGCCCGCCCGCACCTCCTCCCAGATGTCATCACCACCTTCACCTACCAAGCCAGCATCCAAGGCTTCGCACAGGATGGCGTGGCAGGGCCCCGAGCGGCCCAGCTGCTCAACCTGGCAGTGGACCTGGCGGAGGCAGCTCGGGCGCAGTACCTAGCGGAGTCGCTTCGAGACAGCGGCGGCGGCGACTGTGGAAAGCATGTCGATAGAGACAGCGGCTTTGGTGGTCGCGGCAGCGGTGGTGGTGGTGGTGCTGATAAGGGCTCCGAAGCGGAGGAAAACAAGCAACAACAGCCAGAGGACGTGGTTGGAAGCAGTTGCAGCAGCAGTAGTGGCCGCCGCAGCGGCAGAGGCGGCAGGCGACGGCCGTTGGTGGCTTACTCATGCGGGTCGTACGGCGGTTATCTAGCAGATGGATCCGAGTTTCGGGGCGATTACGCGGATTCCGTGTCGTACCAAGATCTAGCCGACTTCCACCGGGCTCGGATTGAGCCGGTGCGGCATCGCCCGGAGATTGACTTGCTGGCGTTTGAGACGATACCCTGCTTGAAGGAGGCGGAGGCGATTGTACGGCTGCTGCGAGAGGAGCGGTACGGCAAACCGGCATGGATCAGTTTCAGTTGCAAAGATGCCGTACACACGTGTCATGGGGAGCGTTTTGCGGAGGAGTGCATGCCGCTGCTGGCGGCGGCGGCGGCGGAGGGGCTGCTGGCGGCGGCGGGAGTGAACTGTACGGCACCTCGCCACGTGGCGCCGCTGCTGACGGCGGCGCGGAGGCGGTTAGCGAGCCTTCAACCGTCATCGCCGCCTCCGTCAGGTGGCCTCCAACCACCACAACCGTCACCCGCACCGCTGCTGCTTTTGTGTTACCCGAACAGCGGGGAGGATTGGGACGGAGAGCACCGCTGCTGGCGGCATCTGGCAGATGACCTGGCGGCGCCCAGTCGGTTTGCGGCGGCGGGTGCGGGTTGGGTGCGAGGGGAGACGCGGGTGGCGCTGTTGGGGGGGTGCTGTCGTACGGGTGCCGAGCACATCCGAGCACTGAGGTGTGCGTTGTTGGAGCGGAAGGAGGAGGAGGAGGTGAAGGAAGGGGGGTTGCATGGCTGTTGACATGCAGAGTAATGGTGGTTGTGGTTAGGTTGCTGGTTGTAGTGTTGTCGCTGTTGTGCGTTCCGTTGTTTGGTTTGGTTGCTAGCTGAGAGGCATGCTGCGCGGCTGGGTTTTAGTTGATGTGGTGTGATGGGTGGCCGAGGTATATGGAATCAAGAAGATGACACTCATGAGCAGATTGACGGAGCCTCATCATCAGGGTTGGCTGGGGAACTACCTGGGAGGTCGTACAAAGGATGGATGGATGGACGACGTACAAGGTGCCGCAGCTAGGCGCGGCACTCCACACAGAAACGAGTCAGCCATTCCCTCGACAACCCCCATGAAAGAGGTTGTTTGCAAAGAGCACCCTCAGGCCCCAGACGCTGATGTCGCAGGTGCACAGTGCGTGTGGGACAGACCCCAACATGCAGGCGGGCAGAACCTGCCAGCCACCGCCAACTGCCATGCATGCATCGTGAACCCCACATACCGTACATCAATTCCATCCCCCAACTCCGCAGCAGCCACGACGCTGCGAGTTGCTTGCCATGTGGTATCTGTACAAGCCTATACCTCAAACGCGCGCTTCAGACTTTAATGAGCACACACCGCAGGCTCTTCCGCTGCCATGCGTGATTCCATTGCCCCTTCTTAACACATGCGCCTTTTCATTTGCGGCCAGTTTTCTTAACACACATGCGCCTGCTGAATTTACAACAGGTGTGCTTCCTCCTGCCGGCTTCAACCAATCTTCCTCGACACCATCCAAGCCGCCACGCGCCCATGCCATTACCGGTACCTCCCGCCCAACCACTCTCATGCACTGCATCTAGCCTTCCCCGGGATGATTTATGCGTGTAGCCCCAGGATCCCGCTACTGCCACTGCTGCTGCCACCGCTACTGCCACTGCTACTGCCACTGCTGCTGCCACCGCTGCCATCGTCGTTGCTACTGCTGCCCTCCGCTCCGGCAACAGCAGCAGCTGCCTGCCCTTCCTGCCCGGTCCTTCATGAGGATTTGAACTTCTTGATGCTAAGCGCGGGGCTACTGGCTGGGCTGCTGGTGGTGCCTGCATTGGTGCTGACTGCGGAACTCGTTGAGGTGGAAGCCTTGAGCGGTTGCTGCTGCTGCTGCAGGGGCACGGGTGCGGGGGCGAAGGTGGGTGCCGTTGCATACGGCTGAGGCGCCAAGCCCATGTAGGGGGAAGTAACTGCGGGAGGAGGGGCGGGAAGGAGGCGGGAGCGAACCAGGTGGTGGGGTGTGAGCGGTTTGACGAAGGGAGGAATTGAGGTACCGGTTGTAGGCTGGAATGGAGGTTTCGGGTTTTCGGCTGCATTGAAGCAAAGGCACCTATACCTACACGGATGCTTAGGACCTGCTGACGTGCTGAGGACACGTTGGCGAGAGGTTTAGAGGAAAGGTCGGGTGGGGGCGAAATAGGCAGTTGCCTGTATGCCAGAATGCTTTACGTCTAGTTGCCGTCCGCATCTGTCGTACGAGTTACGCAGTTGGAAACACATGGGCACACATGGGCACATAGACACGGGCGTTCTGGTGGGGACAGCACAACCCGTAGCACCACTACTCGCGGCCAGTTTCCTTGGCTCCCATGGACACATGGAAACTGGCACACACTGCCAGAGCCCCAGCCTTACCTATTGGAGAGACTGCCATGGGCATTGGCATGGGCGCCGGGACGTAGGTGTACATGACCTGCATGGTAGGTGGGGAATAGTCGTTGCAATACCGTAGCCTTTTTTAGCAGGGAGGCAAACCGATATAGCCCCAATACGGCGATCCACGCACTGCCGTGATACTTGACCGCTTGTGTGACTCCTTCGCGCCCCTCAATCGGTCAACACACGGTCTATCCTATTAGCTACCTGGGCCCAATCAGCATTCTGTCTAGCCGTCAACCAGGCCGAACACAGCAGACGCTTCACGACATAGGCCGCCTAGCCCCGTCGGGTTTCTTGCACACGGCGTCAGTCTATGTGTAAGGCACCCATCTTGTTCAGAATTCCAGTAGTATTTAGCATCCTAGTACCGTAGTGTAAAGCAGCCAAGCAGTGTGCACCTGAGGGGGTGGAGCAGCGACGACTGGCGCGGCGGGCTGGGGGACGTAGGCGATTATGGTGGCAGTGGCGGAGGCTGAGGCGGAGGCGGGGCCCTTAGCAGCAGCCGGGGCCGCAGCAGGGGCCTTTGCCGGGACCACAGCTGGGATCTCGACAGGAAGCTTCGTTGGAATCGTAGCGGGGATATTAACAGCAGGGAGCTTGGTTGGGATTGCAGCAGCCGGGGCCTCTGTTGCAAGCGTGGTTGGGATTGTAGCCGGCACCGAAGCAGCAACCGGAGCAGCAGGGACCGCGGCGACGGCCGGAGCAGCAGGGACCGCGGCGACGGCCGGAGCAGCGGGAATCTTGGCGACGGCGGCCGGAGCAGCGGGAACTGCGGACACAGCTGGAGTAGCAGGAACCGCGGCCACAGCTGGAGTAGAAGGAACCGCGGCCACAGCTGGAGTAGCAGGAACCGCGGCCACAGCTGGAGTAGCAGGAACCGCGGCGACGGCCGGAGCCGCAGACACCGCCGCGGGCAGCCGAACGGACTGCCGCAGCAGGTAGTCTCTGAGTGTCGCCAGCTTGCGGTTGCTGCCTGCATGTGTGGATGTTGGGAAGGAGTGGGGGGGGGAGGAGGGTGTACAATCTGTGCATGTATGTAGGAGAATGGAGTCTCCAGGGTAGGCGTTTTGGCCGGGTGACCCATGGGTCGCCTGTGTCACGAAGTATACGGCATTGCCAGGACTTTGCTGCGAACCCGGTGTTGGAGAAAGCTAAGCTCAGGTGCTTTCTTCTGTACTCTTCTGTGCGGGATGTCGGGTTCTGCCTTCACTTGCTGGAAACCTTCTACCGGTCCCTCTTCCCGGTCCGCGCCCCGTACCTTGTAGGTAGGGCTGTTGTGGGACGCCAGTAGCCGCAGCATGAGCGACCAGCAGTCCCCAGCAGACCAAGAGGCCAGCCACAACGCAGGCTGCACGAGGCATGCTGCTAACAGCTACTACGGGACGTGCTTGGGAGTAGATGGGCGGATTGGAGACCGGCTAGTAGGGTGACCGTGTGGATTAAACCAACAGGATAGGGTTCGCATGCAGGCACAACCAACAGTTTGGTAACGGTCTTCAAACATGGATTAGGAGCAAGTCGGGCGAGGCTTGCAAGTAGGTCGTCATCATCATGTTGACAGTTGAAGACAGCTGCGGTCCCATGCTCGTCCCAGGGAGTTGATGGCTTTGGACGTCACACCGCGTCCCGGTGCTTGCTGTGGTGGCAGGAGTCGGCAACAGCGGTCGCGTTCGACGGGCTTCCCAAAAATAAATATTACTTCCCATTACAATGCTACCGCCTTGCAAGACATAGCGTGTGATGTTGAACGTTTCCAAGTAAGGCATTCGTCTCCAACCGAACGTGCGTAGGCCACAAGAGCTCAATTACATACAAATGCAAACCTACGCTAAGAAATGCAAACCAAGCATAATAAAGCATGCAAGCAAGTCAGTCGCGATTCGCTGCTCGTCCATCCACCTCCCATCAAACCAACTACCGGGCCCAACACAATGCACAACGAAACTGTGCTCTGTGGCGTCACTGCCGTTACCCAACACCCAGACATGTGGCTTACGGGGCCTCGTTATTCAGTTACAGTGCCAGTGATGGCATATCAGCATACGTATGCCATGCAAGTCCTCATGTGCAAAGACGCCAAACCCGTCCATCCTCCGGATGCCCCGCTTCACAGCCACATCAATACTCAACTCGTCACCGAAACCTCCAACCGTACGTTTTCATGGACGCGCCCAACCACCCTAGCTCCCAGCGCATGCAACTACCCGAACTCCCGTGCACTCAGCTCCAAGCAGCCGCTCCTAAGCTATCTAGCCACTGCCACCACCACCGCTGCTGCGGCTGCTCCCACGTCTGCGACCTGTTCATGCAGCAGCTGGGCGGCCCCCGCCTCTCCTGCCTCTCCCGCCTGTCCTGCCCAGTCCCGCCTCTCCTGCCCAGTCCCGCCTCTCCTGCCCAGTCCCGCCTCTCCTGCCCAGTCCCGCCTCTCCTGCCCAGTCCCGCCTCTCCTGCCCAGTCCCGCCTCTCCTGCCCAGTCCCGCCTCTCCTGCCCAGTCCCGCCTCTCCTGCCCAGTCCCGCCTCTCCTGCCCAGTCCCGCCTCTCCTGCCCAGTCCCGCCTCTCCTGCCCAGTCCCGCCCGCTCAGGGATCTACAGATGCGCTGCTGCTGGCGGCGGCGTCCGCGGAAACCGGGGTGGGCTTCGGTGCGGGTTGGGCGGGAGCAGTGTAGGTGGGAGCCACCCCAACCGGGTGGTAGGGAGCCATCCCAACTGGGTAGGGCGCCACCCCCATCACTGGGAGGGTTGCTGCGGAGAAACGGAGGCGGGGGTGCGCGTTAGGGCAGCAGCAACGTACGCTCCAGGAACCCGGAAGCACCATGCCACCTTTGCATCCCCAGCATACGCCACAGCAGGGACCTCAGCCGCAGCACATGTCCCTAAACAGAGCTCCCCTAGACACAATCTCCGCCGCAATCTCCTCAGCTATGAAGACGTGCGCTAGGCGCACGCAAGCTCATGCATGCGTGGCTACGACCTTACCTATCGGCGACACGAAGGTAGGAGCCACGGCCTGCTGCAAGGTTGTGGGGTGGGGGGGCCGTGCAAACAGCACATCTCAGCAAACAAGCTTGGGACCATGCCTACATGCCTAACAGCGTGGTCAACCCCTGCCCAGACACCAGGTAAACGGCCAGCATGGCGCGACAAGGACGAGATCCAGTCTTAGGCCGCCGCATTCGTACGGCAACACATACGTGCTGTTGTCGTACGGCAGTCAAGTTGTACGGCATTTGTTCTCTAGCTACGGCACGTACCGGCCGGGGGGGCGGGGGCGGAGGGGGCGGAGGGGGCGGAGGGGGCGGTGGGGGCGCAGAGGTTGCTGCAGCCGAAGCGGACCCGGGGGCCGCAGAGGCGGAGGCGGAGGAGGAGGCGGTGGCGGCAGCGGCGGCGGCGGAGCCGGGGGCCGCGGATGCTGCTGAGGAGCTCGAGGGCGTTACGGATGTGGAGGTGGCGGCGGATCCAGCTGACGAGGATGCTGGGGCGGGTGCGGGTGCCGGGGCGCTGGCGGGCGCGGAAAGGATGACTCCGGCTAGCTTGCGGTTTAGGCCTGTGCGTAGGTGGATGTTCGTGGGGGTGAAGGAGGAAGGGTGCGGGTGAGGGCATGAGCGTTAAGAGAGACGGAAACAGCCATGGATATGTATGAGTGTCCCAATGCAGAATCAGGGGTGTTCGTTCTGTGTAAATAAAGTCAGTCGCCGTCCACGCTATTGGAGGAGGCGCCACTGCTGAGCGCGAATGTGTTTCTCGTCAGCTGGCTTGGTGACCCATGGGTCACTGGGTCACCACCGCAGGATCACTGCCGCTGCTTCAAGGGTTTCAAAGGTTCACCCAGTAACCGAAACGAGGCGACCGTCTACATGTCGCGACAGTGGAACCCCCTGTTGTCACAGCTTATTTTGTCACAGCTTTTCCAAGTGGGGCGTGCACCTCAGCAGCGGGCAGCCCGCGCCTCCTACCTTGCAAGGAGGGCTGCGACTCAGTAGCAGCGGCGGCGGCATGTGCCGCAATCAGTCCCAAGCACACTATGAGTGTTGTTGTGGTGGTGGCAGTGCGGGCTGTTCGGGCCATGTTCCCAGTGATTGCGGACGGACGCGAGTCAGGCCTAACAACGCTTAACGCTTCACGTTCACCAAGGGCAGCTATGAATGGTGACCGTTACAGCGGTGCCCTAAAAGGAAACGGCGGTGATGGTAACAGTAAGGCGACGTGCAGGGGCTAAGAAGGTAAGCAAAGCCCAGGGCCACAACAAGCGATGGACAGCTGATATGTGACAGGACTTGCAACCTGGGAAGGTGGACGGGTCAAGACGATTGGGTACGAGGCTGGAACCGAGGAGTCCTATGGCCGCGGGGTGCCTTGGACGTTGGCATGTGCCTTCCAACGCACGAGACGATAAAGCGCTGTGCACATAAGACGCGGCAGCTACAGATCTATTGCTGATGAAGAGGCTCACGGGTTCTAATGTCCTAAGACATTGCTGTTAGGTGGTGGCGCACGCAGCCGGGCACTCAGCACCCGCATGGCATTGCCGACGCGTCGCTTTTGCATGCGTTAACCACTGGTCAGGCGATAAACAAAGCAAGACATATAATTACCGGTGACCGTTTAGGAACTACCTAGTATGAAACGCGTACAGCATGCACTGCTACAACGAGAATGGACAATCGGCCTGCGAAACCGGTCCAACCATGCGAGAACATTCCGAGATGCAAGCCCCCTGCGGCACACGCTGCTGCCCCTTGTCGAGGGAGTTCCCGAGTGCAACTCCCTCACAGCTGCCGGCCACCGCCCCCACACCTCCGTCCTCACGGGCACCGTATTCGTGGGCTGACTGAAGCTCCACGCATGCATGCATCCCCAGAAGCTCCACGCATGCATGCATCCCCAGAAGCTCCCCGCATGCATGCATCCCCAGCATGCATTACCCTAACGCCCCGCCTATATCCCACCACCGCTCCTGCCCCCCAGCTTCACCCCCCTGCCTTGCTGCTTCTGCCCACAGATGCCTGCATGCCTTCTTAAACCTCAGCTCCCGCCGCACATGCATCCTGGGGTCACCTTCCCGGGTATATCCCGTTGCCCCCCTGGGCATGTTCGCGTTCTACCTGCCCTCCCTTTCCTCCTGCTGCCCCTCCTGTTGCTCCCCCTCCCGCTCCGCCGCCCGCTTCAGCAACCCCGCATGCACATCCGACCGCAACCACCCGCCCCCACACCAACACCTCCCCCCGCCCCGCCCCGCTGCCTCCCATGCTGAAGCCCGGCCTCCCCCGGGCCCCCCCGCCCAGCGCCCCAGCAACCACCGCCGCAGCTCCAACACGTCCTCATCCGGCGCCGTACATCCTCGCAGCTCCACCTCCTGTCCGGGGACAGAGCACGGCGGGCAGCGGGAAAGTGAAGGGTGTTAACGATGGGCCCCAACATTATGCAACAACCCAACATTAACCCAATCACAGCACTGGAACACACATATGTACAGGCATCACTCCGCAGCTCACCCGCAGCTCCGGCAGCGCTACTTGCAGCAGCTGGAGCTCCCCTGGCCCGAATGCAAAGCCGCGGAGCTGCAGCGCCGACAGACCCATGGGTCGCAGCGGCGCCAGTGAGGCCAGCCAACCTCCCGCCCCTGTCCCTGCCAGCATGCAGCGACCTCGTTCGAACGGACGGATCACCAGACCGGCGGGCAGCAGCAGCGGAGGTGACTTGGAAGCAGGTGCGAGTGCAACAGCCCCCGACGGTTGATGACGGTTGTACGGCTGGAGGGTACGAGCAAGCAGGCGGCATGCCGCCAGGAGGACGTCTGTGACCCATGGGTCAGTGTCGAGGGATTCGGCTTCGCATGAGGAGCCCACGAGCGCGAGCCGGCCCCATGCGGCGGGTACCGCTGCCAAGGGGGTTGCTGCTGCTGTAGTTCCCTCGGTGATTGCGGGGGGAGCGGAGGAATGCGATGCTTCTCCCGCATGTAATGGCGCACACGCCGTGTTTACTGCCGCTGTCTCCGTTGCTGCTGTCGGTCCCGGTTCTCCTAACGGTGTTGCGGTGTTGCCGTTGCCGCCGCTGGCGGCCGCCGCAGATGCTGTTGCAGCTGCTGGAGCTGCCATCGCAGCAGCTGCGGCGGCGGCCTTTGTCAGCTGCCGGCATGTGAGGACGGTGAAGCCGGTAAGGGCCCCCAGTGAGGCGAGGATGGGAGCTGCCGGCAGGTGGCGCACCTGCGGGGGGCAACCAAACAACGACAACCCACTCACAAACGACAAACCGACATGCCGCTCGACGGATGCCGTTACACAACTGAAGTAACCGTTTTGCCGTTTTGCCTGTGGATTCAGGGGCGCCTCAACTCATGTGCTGGCACCCACTGTGTGCCGATACCGGTACCCCCTTGCCTCTGGCGGAATCCCCCGCCCCTACCCGCGTACCTGCAGCTCTCGTAGGTGCGGAGGAAAGAGTACGACAGGAGCTGCCAACGACCCGCAACCGCCGCCGCCGCCACCCCTGCTGCTTCCCGCTGCTACGGCAGCACCAACAGCGCCAACAGCAGCTGCACTTGTGCCTGTGCCCCACACGGCGGGCGGTACCGGCGGCAGTACAATGCTACGGCATGTGAGACATGTGAGCTGCACGGCTTTCGAGAGTACGGCAGCCATGTCGTACACCGTTAGTTCGTACGACCGCCCTAGATTGAGCTCCACGAGATTGCGTACGGAAGACGCCAACGGTAGCAACTGCCAGCGGCGTTCCGCCGTACTCCAGGGTCCACCACGCATGCATGCTGCCGCTGCTGCTGCCGCTGCTGCTGATTCTACTGCTGATGATGCTGACGAGGATGCTGAGGGCGGCAGCAGCAACGACTGCAGTCCGGGCTGGTGTTGCTGCTGCCGCCAAAACGCCGCATGAGCTGACTCCTCATCCTTGTCGCTCCTTCCAGCAGCACCAGCACCACCAGCAGCAGCAGCTGCGCCCTCTTGTGACCCATGGGTCGTTAGGAAGCCGGCATGCAGGTCGGCTCGCAGCCGGGTGAGGCCGGTGAGGGCGCTGAGGCCCGCCAGCCTGTACGGCGGATCCAGGATCCGCTCTAAGGCGCTGCCGTACAGCTCTAGACAGCGCAGGCGGTTGAGAGAGGCGATGGAGGCGACGGCGGGGGGAACTGGACGGGCGGGAGGGAGGGAGGCGTTCGGTGAGGGTTGCACGCTAGGGCTCGGCATAGGCTTGAGGAGAGCTAATTAGGAAACGGCTGGCCTTGTTGGTCCCAACTCGGTCCTAATCAGGCCATGGACCTTCGCCCTCGCACCCATCGCCATCCATGCACTCCACCTCGTACCCCTACTACTCGCACCTCCTCACCCCGCTCCCAACTGCTTGCCTGCGTACGCACCTTCATCCCCCCGCATCCTCAGCGGCCCCAGCGACGCAGACGTTTGCATGTCCAGTTGCAGCCGCAGCTCCTGAAGCGCCGTACACCCCTCCAGCGCTACCACCGGCGGTGCACCGCGCGGCCCCATCCGGAGCTCCAGGCTGGTCAGTTGGGGGCCCACGGCCGCGAGTACCCGCTCGGAGCCCTTGGTTGCTGAGGCGTCAGGGAGTTCGAGCAGCAGGTGTTGCAGCTGGGGTGCGAGCGAGGGCAGCGAGCAGGCGATGCGGTCGCTGAGGCGGGGGCTGCCGAGGAGGGCGAGGGTGGTGGCGGTGCAGGCGACCTCGCGCAGGATGCCGCATCTGAGGAGCGTTGGGTGCGAAGTATAAATTGTATTATATTTTCGTTGGCTATGTCATTGTTGATGGTAAATGGAGAACAAAGCAAGGGTTGGCTTAAAGCAGAGGGAAGAGTGACTAAGCAACCGCCGGTTCTCTTCGAAAAATAATGATCGCAGGTATCGAATTAAACCACGATATTAATAGAAATCAATTGGAAGCGTATGCGGCGTGCAGCACTGGAACTTACAACACGGCTTCGGATAGGGCGTTTCCGCAAGACAGCGTCAGCTTTAAAGGCTTGCACCCACGCCGGGAAATCGCCGCAAGGGATTCCAAGCCCGCTATGCACCCTGAGAGCTGCGACTGGAAGAGCTGTATCGCCCGGACAGCGTTCACGTGAAGAGAAAGACAGGCTGCGTCGTGAAGGTTCCGCGCTTCTCGACTAACTGCACGCAGGGTAAGAGATGATTGCCTGCCCAGCAACGCCCAGAAACTCGGCAACGCGGCCAGGACGTCATACAGGCTGCGTTCTCCGGCTGGCGGCAGGGCTGGGAGCTGCTGACTTGGTCCATCCATCTTACTGTGTGTTTCTGCGGCACCTGTCGAGTAGGCTGTAACCCTCGTGTGATGTGGGCGCTGCGGGGGCTGGGATGTGCCCCTTGTCTCTTGCAAGCGTACGGACGGCACGGTGCCGTACTGACCACCGTCAGTTGATCAGCATTGTACGGCACGAAACTGGTTGTGAATGGGTACCCGACACTCTCTTTGACATACTTATCGTTTGTGTTTGGGATTGAGGTTAGCGTTACAATGGCGTCTAAGGCTTCGCGACTGGATGCTTTGTTGGAAGTCGCGGCCTTACAGGCGACTTATGGCACCGAATCAGTTACCATACTTCATGACAACCAGAACTTAGTAGACCTGGCGGCCGCTGGTTCTCTAGAGGTGCGCAGCGACGTCTCGGTCCGCAGTGCTTTATTTCCATGCATGCGCTGCTGAGTAGACGAACCAAGCCGTGTTGTTGCAAAGCCTACGGAATTTTCCTCCGAACATTTGATTGCAGCTTAAGCATTTTATGTTTACCGTTCTACGAGTGCTGCTGGCTGGGAGGAAAACAGTAGTGTCATGTATGCATTGCCCGGTGTTCAGTTGTTGAGCTAAAGTGAACGCTTTAAGCCCGCGGAGGTTCCGTCGCATATATTATGCCCCCTTAAGAACCGCGATCCTGTGACTTACATTCCTGCACAACAGCAGCGGTGACATTTCCTTCACCAATGCTCCTGCATTGCTTAAACAACGCCTACCGCCCTCTCAGGAGGAGGAGGCGGCCGCGCGCTTGGGGCAAAGTAAGGGCTTGGAGATTGCACTCTGTCACCGCCACACCTGCCCTTGCGCATCGGACAGGTGTGCTGCTTTCGACACAACATGCGGGGTCTTCAGAGAGTCAAACGACCACCATAACTGCCATAACCAACACCACCACAGCCGTCTAGGCCAGCATCACCCGTTTACTACTCAGCATCCCAACGCATATCCTGTGGGCAGGCCAACCCCCTCCTTCCGCCCACCCTCCCGCCCACTCTTTCGCCCACCCTAACCCACCTAACCCGCGTACCTCCTGCATACCCGGCGTACCTCGTGCTCCCGCCAGGGAGGAAGCAGGGGGGGCGGAGGCTGGGGAAGCGGCAGCAGCAGCAGCAGCGGCAGGGCAGTTGACAGTTGAAGTGAAGGCATGGTTCAGGCTGCCGCCCGGATACCCCTCCTGCTGCTGTTCTCCAGAGCCACAGGAGACAGCAGAGGCAGCAGGAGCAGCAGCAGCAGCAACCCGACAGGCCGCTGTGCACTACAACGATCACATTGTCTCCAAGTACGGCTGCCCTGCTTGCTGCACCTGCCGCCGTACCGATGCGGTTCACGCCTTGCCGGATGCGTTTAGGGATGAGCTGGCGGAGGTCATCCGTAGTGCCGCGGAGGAGGTGAGTGACGGGACGAGTGGATGCACGACTGGGGGAACGGGGAAGGCGCGCGGAGGGGGTGTGGCAGTGCACCCGATGGCTGACTGGGGTGTAATGGGTCCCATCCAGCGATGTGTGTTGGCAATAGGCAAGGCTATCAACCGTGGCTGGAGATTGGGAGGGAGTTTGGAGGACAGGATGAGCAGGTATGGGGCATTTGCTGGCGCGCAGCTGGCTCCTGGCGCAGCTTAGTACCGGTCTTGAATGGGGTATTGGATGAGCGAGCCGCAAGCAGCTACCACTGCCTACCTGCCTGCCTGCCACCTAGTCATTTCCCTTACCTGATCGCCCCTTGGTTGGCAGGGCCGGCCCTGCTTGCACGAGCTCTGGGAGGTCGTGCGGTGCGCCGCGGTGGGGCTGGCGGAGGAGGAATGGCGGCGTAGACAGCAACCTTGCCCAAGGTGCCAGGGGCAGGAAGCACGAAGCAAGCAGGATCGTGCAACAACGGTGGAGGGCCCTCCTATGGCGCCGAAGGAGGAGGAGGAAGAAAAAGTGGATCCCTTACAGGTCCGGCTGCTGCAGGTCCTACTGGACACATGCGGATGACGCGGGGCGGATAGATGTAACCGGGGGCTGCAGCTGCCTGCTCCGCTGCATGCCCTCTTCGCATGTGTGTTTGTGTGTTACCGGTAGCACTGGTGCGCTGGTAACGGTATTATCCAACCGAAACAGTTGCCTACAGCTGACCTTGTTGTCCTCTGGTAGCTGGTACTGATGGCGAGTTGAGTACGGCGCAGGTGCTGCTGCTGAAGCTAGACCACATGCACAGCAGGGCGCTGTACGTCCGGACCATCACGGCTTGGGCGCGGGAACTACGACTGACGGGTAGGACTGGCGCGGCCCCTCGAGCGACGCTTTCTGTCGCTGTGCTTCGTTCAATGCATTCTGCCAAACGTCAGCAGTGTTGCTTGGTGATCGCAGTAGTAGTAGCAACTCGAAGGTTCTTCCCAACCTTGGAATGCCGTGCCGTGCCGTGCCCTTAACACGCAGGCCGGTTGATCTTCCAAGGCAACCTCATCCTCGTACTGCTGGAGGGCGAGGCGGACGCCGTACGACAATACCTTGTACGACATCGTACGGAAAACGTTGACGTTGACTCACGTGGCCGCAAGGTACGGATGCGGGGCGCGGATTCTCGCACCGCCCGTTGTGATGTTTAGAGGAGGTTTCAGGGCCTTCAGTCGCGTCGCGGAACGTACTGTAGGTGCTGTACTGGACGCCTCTCGTGCCCAGCAGCACCCCACATGAGCCTGGCTTGCTTGCTTGCCCTCACACGCGTGCTTCGCCTCCCCCTTCCCAACTAACTGAACAGTGCAAGGAGCGGATGCTCCAGGTCATCGTGCAAGCGCCACATCCCTTGACGGGTGGGGCCTCCCAGCAGCAGCAGCAGGGATCAGCTGCAGGGTCGCGGTCAGCAGCAGCAGGCGTGTCAGTCGCCGCAGGCGACCCACGAAGGGGCGCCTTCCCTGATTTCCGGTGGGTAGGTGCAACCAAGGGTGTTGAGGCCTTAAACATAGCACACTGCGCCTGTGCTGAGCGTTGCGTATACGGGTTCATGCATGCACTGCAGCCTTCTTAAGCGCCATTGCGTGCGTGTTGCTTGTTGTCCAGTACCCTCCATTGATATACTGCTGCTCCTGCTGCTGCGTGCCGTGCTCCATCCCGCCGCCGCTGCTGCCGCCGGCTGCATGTCATGTCATGCCCCAGGGAGGTGCGTGTGGAGTCGCTTGCGGAGGTGGGGCGGCTGCTGGGGCAGGCGGGGCTGGGGGAGTGGCTGCGGCCGGCAGCGGGCCTGCGGTGATGGGGGCGGGGGAGAGCTGCATGCTGGATGGATGCGCCCTCCGCAGCCCTGACGACATATATGGGTGGCATCTGGCATGGCAAGTATTTTTTTATCTCTTCTTGGGAGGCACTACTGCATCGTCGTTTGTTCATTCATTCCTTGATAGCTAAGGGCTGCTGGTGCACGCATGCGTGCATGCAGGTACTTTACTTGACGTGCATATTATGATGGCATGAGCAGGTGGCTAATGTTAGGGCACCCTGTTTGTGTACTTTATTCCTGAACATGGAGGGATATAAGAAGGGCACGGTGGGCTTGGGTATTGGCGGCGGGTGCATCAGTATGGATGACAGAGGATCAGATCAGCAGTGGAGAAGTGGAATTCGGATGCAAAGCTGCCGGAGAAATAACACACTGTAGCTAGGCATCCGACAGCAGAATATTTCCTCTGTGTACGGCATACAGTTGACAATGCACAAGACCTGAACGATTTGGTCTGATCAGATTCTGGTCTGATATTGAGAAATGTTGAGGCGGAAGTCCACTGCGGTCCCTTGCGCTGAAATTCCGGTATGTGGCCAAGTTTGGCCCACCCATAGATCGCACGAGCCAATTTTGTATGGACAATTTAGGATGCGGACAGGATGCGGAGAGTATTGCTTTGGATAATTAGCCAAGCGTAACTTTTCACACTGATAGCATCAAAATATGGTTAGTCAGCATCCAAAGTGTGAGAGCCGTCAACGCTTTATCCCTCTGGCTGCGAGCGATGTCGTACGAACAATTGAGCGCCGAGCGGCCGTCGGACATACCTAGAAAGGAACGTTTTGGCACAGCGCATCTTAATATTCGGGCAAATATACTTCTTTTCCTTTCGTAGCGTTTTTGTTGCAGGCGGTGAGCGTCTTCTCGGCTTGCTAAGCGTTCTGACCGTTCCTTCAGTCGGAAAAACGAATCGCTGCATTGCAGTATTTGATCATAGTTTCGAGATTAAAATTTGTGAACGTCTTTTTTAACACAGTCCAGAGCTCTGAAGATTGCACAGCTAGGGGAAGGCGGACGCAAACGGCTGCAAGGCTCTGTAGGAAGCCGCGCGGCCCGACCCCCGGGTCGTTTGGCCGGCTGCTACTGCTAGCGTTATAGCTACCAGTGGTCCACAATGGTGTAATGTTAACAATTTCCACATTACTGGGGAGCGAATAGCATAATCGCCCACGACCAAAACGACGCTGCCGTTTTAATCCTTGGCCAGCATCGTCCGGTCGCCTTCCTGGCTCACACCCCAACGGCGATATACCTGCTGCAGCACGTAGCTGCGCAAAAACGACCCACGGGTCCGTAGACAGCTGACTGACTGGGAGCTTTACAGCAGCCTTGGCTACACCCTAAGCATCCCGGGAAGGACTGCTGCATCCGTAATGGAAACCGAGGCGGCTGCTGTTCGTAACAACGGCACGGGTCGGAAGGGCCCGATGGGGCCTGCTGCTGGTGCCGGCAGCAATCGTGTCAGCCGCCGCCGCAGTAGCAGTAGCAGTAGCAGCCGCAGTGACGACAGCGGTGCTGGGGCTGATGCTGCGGCCGGCGGTGGCAACCAGGCAGCCGAGCTGAGCGAATGGCGGCTGTTCGCGTTACAGACGTCAGCGGTTCTGCGGAAGAATGCAGCGGTGCAGGTGGGGGGGGGGGGGAGGAAGTAATGGAAGCAATGAAGCGCCTTGACCCCGGGGAAAGAAACACAGCGTGCTTACATCACTCCGTTCGGCTAGTAACAGGCATCGATCGCCGGGGCTTGGCTTCTTGTTCATTACAATTCTGGTGGCTCATCCTGCTACGTGGAAGGTCCTGCAAAACATCCGTACTGAAGTACGGTAAGCACGACTTCTCCCCTTCTCCGCCCGCTCTCGCCCTTCCTTCTCCTCTACCCCACAGCGCCGTGCCTGGTGTCAGAACACGTGTCTTCTGGGGCTGCCGCTGTTCTTCTGCGTACTGCTGCTGGTGGGTTGCTGCATGCGTTGCCGAGCCGGTTGCTCCCCTCCTTTATTTGCGTCAGTAACAAACATCCTTGCTGGGCCGCTGCCTAACCCGTGCTAGACCAGCGTACGTGGCTGCTCCCCCGCTTCCCCGCTTCTGCCCGGGGAAACCCCGGGTGCTGCTTGAGTTGGTATACACTAATATATGCACACGGTTCAGTTTCAGCGAAACGCTGAGGAAGAGGGCTTCCTTTCCGTGACTTCTGCTTGCATCCATCTCCGCAACAACCAACCGCGCTGCAGGTGCTTCAGCGGCTGGTCAACACGCAGCTGGGCGCCAGCGAGGACTTCCGCTGCGGCTGCATGTGCCTGGAGTGCTGCGACTGGCTGCCGCCTGCTGCTGACAACTCCTCCTCAGCTGCCACCGCCGCGCTACCAGCAGGAGCAGCAGCGGCCACCGCGGCAGGAGGACTGCTGGGGCCGAGCGGGGGCGGTAATGCCAGCGGAGCCGGAGGTGAGCGGGAGGGGGGTCAAAGACCATATCAAACCATAGGAGACCACAAGTTAGGGCAAAACAATGGGAGGGGGGGGGTGCATTCCCTCTGAATGGAAACGCACGGGTTGAGGAAGGAAGCGGTGGCTTTGTTAAACATGCGCCGTACAGATTACGGGCACAGCAGTTACACTTACAAACATCCGTTCCTCATCTATCGGTGCATTACCGGTATATGTGAATGCGCCTTCGATCTGTAGTGTCACGTCGAAACCCCTGCTGTGCGCCGATGCGTGCGGCCCGTACTGCACTTCCCCCAAACCTTAATCCGCAGTCGGAACCTTACCTGCCCGCTCCTTTCTTGTGTGTCCCCAGCTGCGACCTGGCAGTGCTACAAGGCCACTCCTGCGCGCCCATGCTCGCCGTACGCACAATGCAAGGTACGATTGGTAGAGGTACAGCCTTGCTCCAAATGTACGACAGACTAGGTCCTATCATACAAAGCGGCTTGCCGACCCGTCCCAGCTCTTTTCCTGGCAGTTACATATACAGCACCGGTATCTGTCCATCACCTCAAGGGCGCCACTCGTGTTCCATTCAAAACGTGCCTGCCTCGTAAAAATCCCTCCGGCGCCTCCAAATGCACGCACGCATGCATACAGGCGCGGGACGACCAGCGGTGCGGAGCGCAGTACAGCACGTACTCGCAAGTCGCCTTTTGTGATGTACGACACCCGTCCACGTGGCCTGCCGTACTGCAGGTACGTTGCCGTACGGCGTACGAGTATTTAATTCCTTTTTTATGCGCCAGGATCCTTTTACAGAGATTTGTGACGACAAATAGTATGTATTGTGCTCTAGAACTTGGCGAACCAGATACGGTACCTTTCCAATTGATGGACGTATCCCTCCTTCCGGCATGTATGCCCCCGCTTCGTGCCACTACGGTTATTTGCCGTACGACGACCGTTCCGACAGGTGCCGTTGGAGGGCTACCGGCCACTCAACGAGAACGATAACTGGGCCATTGCCACCGCCCCCGTCATTGCGCCGTACACGGGTACGACAATCCTGATTTAATGTTGGTACGGCATTCAGGGGCTGCTGAACGTTTGCAGCGCCATGGTGCTTCCAGTACGGCATATTGCTTCCATCACGTACGGCAATGTAGCTTGTGGGCAACGGACGCAGCCACAGCGTCACTTGCTTGACCACGCCTACTTAGCGGCTTAAGCCATCCCTCTCCCATTACTCAAAACCTCGCCATCACCTCCCCCTCACCATGCACGCACCTTCCCCCCCGGCCCCATGCATCCCACAGGCCAGGAGCCCAACACAAGCGGCACTCTGAGCTCCCGGCTGGTGCCGCCCGGGGGTGACAGGGGCATCGGCGGCCGCATCCTCCGAGTGAGTAGCGGCCGGTAGTGTGGGGCTGCTGGGATGCACACGCCCGTGTCCCATAAACGGTATATAACAATTAGCCTGATCTTTCCTCCTCACACCGACCCGCTCCATCTGCTGGCTGCGCCTTCCCGCATCGCATCGCACAGGATCTGCAAGAGGTTCAACAGCGACTCCGACGAGAGGCCAGAAGCGCCAACAGTACGGGCAACAGTACGAACAGCACCATTGCAGGCGGCAGCAGCAGCAGCGGCAGCAGTACCCTGAGCAGTAGCGGCAGCAGCGGCAGCACGGCCAATCCAATCCTAGCTGCAATGAGCGCCGCAATCAGCAGCAGTGGAGGCGGAGGCGCTGGAGGCTCAGCTAGGGCTGCTGCCATGGCCGCTGCTGCGGCGGCTGAGGAGGACGAGGGTGCGGTGACAAATATTGACTTTTGCGACCCACGGGTCGATGTCACCGCGCTGCTCCTGCAATCCGCTTCTGGACAGCGCGGCTCCTCTTCTCCTTCTGCTGCTCCTTCTTCCGCCAACTCCAACGGCTCTGTCACAACCGCTGCAACGGCGACAACTGCTCCCGCTGCTAGCGACGCAGCAACGCCGAACGCTGCGAACCTGTCAGAGGAGCAGATCGCCAACGCGGTTTTCGCTTTGACGCAGGTCTTATCAGATTACGATCTGCTGCTGGGAACCCCCACGGATGCCACGTACACGAACCTCCTGGAGCCGGCTTTCATCCGCGGTTCCCGGGTGTTTGGCGCATCCTCAGGCGACAGCAGCAGCAGCGCGGCTCCGGGGGGAG